ACTCCTGGATACAGACAGGAGGTCTCCCAGTAAACTTGTAGTTATAGACAACTCCTGGATACAGACAGGAGGTCTCCCAGTAAACTGGTAGTTATAGACAACTCCTGGATACAGACAGGAGGTCTCCCAATAAACTGGTAGTTATAGACAACTCCTGGATACAGACAGGAGGTCTCCCAGTAAACTTGTAGTTATAGACCACTCCTGGATACAGACAGGAGGTCTCACAGTAAACTTGTAGTTAGAGACCACTCCTGGATACAGACAGGAGGTCTCCCAGTAAACTTGTAGTTATAGACCACACCTGGATATAGACAGGAGGTCTCCCAGTAAACTTGTATTTAGAGACCACTCCTAGATATAGATAGGAGGTCTCCCAGTAAACTTGTAGTGATAGACAACTCCTGGATACAGACAGGAGGTCTCCCAGTAAACTGGTAGTTATAGACCACTCCTAGATACAGACAGGAGGTCTCCCAGTAAACTGGTAGTTATAGACCACTCTTGGATACAGACAGGAGGTCTCCCAGTAAACTGGTAGTTATAGACAACTGCTGGATACAGACAGGAGGTCTCCCAGTAAACTGATAGTTATAGACAACTCCTGGATACAGACAGGAGGTCTCCCAGTAAACTGGTAGTTATAGACCACTCCTGGATACAGACAGGAGGTCTCCCAGTAAACTGGTAGTTATAGACAACTCCTGGATACAGACAGGAGGTCTCCCAGTAAACTTGTAGTTATAGACCACTCCTGGATACAGACAGGAGGTCTCCCAGTAAACTGGTAGTTATAGACCACTCCTGGATACAGACAGGAGGTCTCACAGTAAACTTGTAGTTATAGACAACTCCTGGATACAGACAGGAGGTCTCCCAGTAAACTGGTAGTTATAGACCACTCCTGGATACAGACAGGAGGTCTCCCAGTAAACTTGTAGTTATAGACCACTCCTCTCTCCAGTAAACTTGTAGTTAGAGACCACTCCTGGATACAGACAGGAGGTCTCACAGTAAACTTGTAGTTATAGACCACACCTGCTTACAGACAGGAGGTCTTCCAGTAAACTGGTAGTTATAGACCACTCCTGGATACAGACAGGAGGTCTCACAGTAAACTGGCAGTTATAGACAAGTCCTGGATACAGACAGGAGGTCTCCCAGTAAACTGATAGTTATAGACAACTCCTGGATACAGACAGGAGGTCTCCCAGTAAACTTTGTTATAGACCACTCCTGGATACAGACAGGAGGTCTCCCAGTAAACGTGTAGTTATAGACCACACCTGGATACAGACAGGAGGTCTCCCAGTAAACTAATTGTTATAGACCATTCCTGGATACAGACGGGAGGTCTCACAGTAAACTTGTAGTTAGAGACCACTCCTGGATACAGACAGGAGGTCTCACAGTAAACTTGTAGTTATAGACAACTCCTGGATACAGACAGGAGGTCTCCCAGTAAACTGGTAGTTATAAACCACTCCTGGATACACACAGGATGTCTCCCAGTAAACTGGTAGTTAGAGATCACTCCTGGATGCAGACAGGAGGTCTCCTCCACTCGTGGATACAGACAGGAGGTCTCCCAGTAAACTGGTAGTTATAGACCACTCCTGGATACAGACAGGAGGTCTCCCAGTAAACTTGTAGTTATAGACCACACCTGGATACAGACAGGAGGTCTCCCAGTAAACTTGTAGTTATAGACCACTCCTGGATATAGACAGGAGGTCTTCCAGTAAACTGGTAGTTATAGACCACTCCTGGATACAGACAGGAGGTCTCACAGTAAACTTGTAGTTATAGACAACTCCTGGATAGAGACAGGAGGTCTCCCAGTAAACTGGAAGTTAGAGACCACTCCTGGATACAGACAGGAGGTCTCCCAGTAAACTGGTAGTTAGATACCACTCCTGTTTACAGACAGGAGGTCTCCCAGTAAACTTGTAGTTATAGACCACTCCTGGATACAGACAGGAGGTCTCCCAGTAAACTTGTAGTTATAGACCACTCCTGGATACAGACAGGAGGTCTCCCAGTAAACTTGTAGTTAGAGACCACTCCTGGATACAGACAGGACGTCTTCAAATAAACTTGTAGATATAGAAAACTCCTGGATACAGACAGGAGGTCTCCCAGTAAACTGGTAGTTATAGACAACTCGTGGATACAGACAGGAGGAATCCCTGTAAACTTGTAGTTATAGACAACTCCTGGATACAGACAGGTCTCCCAGTAAACTGGTAGTTATAGACCACTCCTGGATACAGACAGGAGGTCTCCCAGTAAACTGGTAGTTATAGACCACTCCTGGATACAGACAGGAGGTCTCACAGTAAACTTGTAGTTATAGACAACTCCTGGATACAGACAGGAGGTCTCCCAGTAAACTGATTGTTATAGACCATTCCTGGATACAGACTGGAGGTCTCCCAGTAAACTAGTAGTTATTAGACAACACTTGGATACAGACAGGAGGTCTCCCAGTAAACTGGTGGTTATTAGACATCACTTGGATACAGACAGGAGGACTCCCAGTAAACTTGTAGTGATAGACCACATCTGGATACAGACAGGAGGTCTCCTAGTAAACTTGTAGTTATAGACCAGGATACAGACACTCCTACACAGGATGTCTCCCAGTAAACTGGTAGTTAGAGATCACTCCTGGATGCAGACAGGAGGTCTCACAGTAAACTTGTAGTTAGAGACCACTCCTGGATATAGACAGGAGGTCTCCCAGTAAACTTGTAGTTATAGACAACTCCTGGATACAGACCGGATTTCCCCCAGTAAACTTGTAGTTATAGACCACTCCTGGATACAGACAGGAGGTCTCACAGTAAACTTGTAGTTAGAGACCACTCCTGGATACAGACAGGAGGTCTCCCAGTAAACTTGTAGTTATAGACCACTCCTGGATACAGACAGGAGGTCTCCCAGTAAACTGGTAGTTAGAGACCACTCCTGGATACCGATAGGAGGTCTCACAGTAAACTTGTAGTTATAGACAACTCCTGGATACAGACAGGAGGTCTCCCAGTAAACTGGTAGTTATAGACCACTCCTGGATACAGACAGGAGGTCTCACAGTAAACTGGTAGTTATAGACCACTCCTGGATACAGACAGGAGGTCTTTCAGTAAACTGGTAGTTATAGACCACTCCTGGATACAGACAGGAGGTCTCCCAGTAAACTGGTAGTTAGAGACCACTCCTGGATACAGACAGGAGGTCTCCCAGTAAACTGGTAGTTATAGACCACTCCTGGATACAGACAGGAGGTCTCACAGTAAACTTGTAGTTAGACTTGTACAATTTAGTAACAAGACTAGGTGTGACGACATAACAATGATATCATTACAAGCATGTCACAAAATATCTGACATTGTTTATTAAATGACTGAATAGGCTATTTATTATTCTGACGTACCAGAGTTACTTCCCTTCATTTCACTTTATTAGATGGTATGACAATCAGCTCGACACCCAAGGAGACTGCAGATTGGCTAGTTATGCGACTCTCTGCCATTGAAACTAGTCTGGGTGTTCTAGCTGCTGCATTCCTTGAGGAATTCTCATCAAATACACTTATTAAGCACCTAAATGTCTTGGACAAGTTTGTGTTTCAGGGTGATTGGGTCAAGATCAAGGTCACTGTTACTATTTATAAAAGACTCCATTCTTTATAGGATTTTGATCAGACCTCACACAATTACTGATACATCATTACAGACTGACGACAAGGCTATTGTCACGTTGCCATACCTACATCTTTACATTGTTCCGTTAAAGATAATTACAAACCAGTTGAATGTATACTTCTTTTTGTTCTTGCCAAGTAAACACCAAACAGCATCATCTTTATAGATAGTTACCATGTAACAGTTTGTGTAGGCTGGTAGGGAATACCTATTGCTTCAGCAATACTCGGTATCTGACTGTATGCTGGATCATGTAATGATGATTTAAGTGTAACAATCTTGCCCCCAGAAGATAATTTTGGCAATAGGATATCAGTGTTGTTTATAAAATACTTGGTCAAGATTATACATTGTGGGTAACAAATAAAAATAACACAGCACATGAATGCCTATGCCTTTTTTTTTTATTTGTGACATGTATTTACAAATGGCAGATTATCAAGAGAATTTACAAATACACGAACACCATCATAAAACCTGATATTTCATAATATATTGAATATAAAAATAAAGTTCAACCTAATCATTAATAACATTATCCCACTTCTAGACACCAGCTCCAAAAACACTACCTAGATTAATTTACAAAACTGTCTCGATATGAATATTTAATAAGTAGAACAAATGGTGTCAAGATTACAGGAATGTGATAAGTACTTAAGGCCAATTTTGTACAAAAGGTTCGTAAATTTTGATGATCTATTTCCAAACAGACTTTCAACAAAGATGTAGGGAAGAACAGTGAAGCATCAGTCACTTAAGACTGACCCCAAGAAAGTTGAGAATGATTACAGAAGGAAATGTTATATGAGCCATTAGATGGGATAGAACAGTCAACAAATCTGTAACGGAATGTATATGCAGCTAAATGTTATGATATTTTTTACTTATCTGTTAGACAATTGCATTCTAAACATGAGCAGTTGTGAAACAAGACTATGTACATATAAACTGATGCCCAACATCACACATACCTTGGTATTCGGGAAAAACAATGTTGATCTTATCCCTACGAAAAATTACAGACGGTGATCAATTTATTTTGAACAAATTGCAAACAGTGAAGAGGAATGTCGCGTGACGTTTATGATGCTATGAACATCACCATATTTAATGATGTAATATGAGAGTGTTTATAAACAATACAATTTCTTTCATTTTTTCCAATTATACGAGGTTTCAAAGGTGTATGATTATTTACAAGCTTGCATTAAATGCAGTATTTTGTGATGATGGATCTCTGTTCCTTCATAGCAAAAATAAATGTCCCCGCCCCCACCCCACCCACACACAAACTCCTAGCAACAAAATCAATATGTATTATCGCACAATTCAGTTTAATTTTCCCAAATAAGTCGAAAAGCAGAAATGGAAAAATTTATAAATGAAAAAATTAATATGCTGGTACATAAATTGTTTTTTCGATACATTATTGTTACAAAGGAAGCAAGTGAAGAGGCTGTAGCATCATATAAATGTGCTAATTGTCGTGATTAAAAAAAAAACAAGATACAAAATCAGAGTCAAAGTTAAGGAATTATAAAAAAAAATATGTATATGTAAAGGAAGGAATGAATTGGTCCTTCAAACAACCCATGATATGTGAGAGTAAAGATCACGAAAGGAATGTATATATATATATATATATATATGATGTAGACAAATACCGAAGAGGCATCAAAAAGTGAAAGACAATAAGGCCCTTTCAGTGGTATATCAAACAAATGTATCACAATGATGTACAAAGGACTTTCTAAAATTGTGATTTTTACAGAATTAACAGATATACATTGCAAAAGCTATTTCCACAAGATGTGTGCAATGATTTACCGAAATGACACAAAACATTTAATATCTTGGGAAAATATACAAACCACTTTCTTCAAAGATCATATTCATGTAAACCATTGAGCAACAAAGACCTATTTCAAACAATACATCATAAATATGACGGACAACTGAAATTTCGTTACCTTCAAATTAATTCTTAAAACGATAAAATTTAAAGAAAAAACACTGAAACTTCACACTGTAAAATTGAAAAACTGAGTTACAAAAAAATTATTTCTGAAAAACTTAAATCCCTTATTGAAGAATTTCTTTTATGCTGCTTTATTAAAGAATAACTACTCCACCAGTAAATCTATTGAGATGAGAACTCTGGAAAAGTTTGTGTCCAGACAAACAGTATGAGTCAATAGACTGAAATAAAATCTGTGCGATTTATGTGAACAAGTATATAGCAAGTGGTGTTTTTTTTTAGAAATACCAGTCTATACTCAAGTACAGTGTCTTTACATTTATTGCACACATTTCTCAAGTGGCTCAAACATAAACTGATCATTGCAGGATTTAATTAATAAACTAACATAATTGGAATCATGTTAAAATTACAATCATTAAGATATCCTTATTTGTAAGTCTCTACGACATCACAACTTCCAAAATATTGATTTAGGGATGTAAAATATTTGAAATACTTGTTACTGGTTTCAAAAACAAGACCAATGACATACTTCATAAACTATGCAATTCATATTAACAAATTGGAAGCACTTATTGAAATATTTCTTCAAACCTCACTGAAATGGCAAACAAAAACCAAAAATCCACTGAATATCTAAAAAAATCTCATGTAACCATGGAATGTTGATAGAAAGATAAAATTTCCAGAGAAATTTCAAAATTATCTTCCATGAGAGTTGCTGAAATAAAGAATTTACAAAACAAGTTTAACCATTTGATATTGCTTGTGCCTTTGGCATTTTCAATTCTTGAAGAAATATACAGAATTTAAGATTCTATTCATCCTTTAGAGAATATATAGCAGTCTCAAAGTCTTGTTAAGGTTGTGATATATGACTATTAATGATATTATAATAACAAATTCTTTAACTGGGGATTAAATATGGTATCACTTTCCTTGAATTAATGATTACAAGCTGCAGTTTGAGCTTAAACACTATCATTCAAATTGCCAGAAAATTGAAATCAGATGATCACCGCAGTTCACTGTGAAAACTACAAATGTTGTTCACTAGAAAATGTTGGAATCTAACGGCATTTTGTCAACCTAATTATTCATCTAATTTTGGAAATGATTTACTAAATGTTGTCAAGTTTCAAGAAGGTATAATAAAGACAAAGAAATTTGTGCAATTGTACTTATTGTATACAATGATGACTGTGTGTCTTATGTATAATGGTGTTGAAACAATAGTAAAACAATCATCCTGTTAAACATCTCTGTGTAGCATACAGTTGAGAGTATGGCTATTTTTTGTTCCGATATACACAGATTGACGACATATCCTGACCTGAATATATGACTTGAATCACCATCCTTAAGGTCCTGTGTCGTTCAAATGTTCAAAACTGGTCACACATGTTTATTGCGAGAGTGGAGCAAGAATGATTCGTTGTAAGATAGTAAATCTTAAGTGTACAGGCTACACAAAATATGAATACATGATGACCATACTGGACAGACATAGTAAACAAAGTATGCCATGAAAAGATGTTAAAATGACTATAAATATGATATTTACATTGTAAATGAAGTTGTATAAAACTCATTTATGCTGTAATATATTGCTATAAAAAATTTTGAAAGTTTCACCAGACGTATATAAAATTACACAAAGATATCAACTTGTTACCATCAAAGTTAACAACACAATAAATGTACAAAATATTTGTTCTCTAAATATTGCAAGGTAAAGGCTGAAGAGTCCTAGCCATCATCCTTGATTTCGTTAATTACTATTAGTTCTAGTAACAATGGAGAATGTACATTCTAAATGTAGAAAATATTTCAAAATTATTATATTTACCAGATAATGAATATTACACTGTACTCCGTTAAACCTGACAAAAACTTTAAGATTATGTCACCATCATTTTTTTTTTCTGAAAATGAAAAATGAATTCATGCTTTCCAATAGTTGAACATAAGTGTATACTTGCTAACGTTTGCTCACAAACATCCTTCTCAATAGGAATTCATCGATATATATTCAACATTACAGAATCTACAACACAACCAGCTTACAGAGGCTGATGGTGCTTACAAAAAATTTAAGTACATTTTTTTAATAATGCTGTATTTTTACAGCATGGCAACAACCTATTCATACTGACCAAAAGCGCAAAGTGTATTCTATATACAGATTGAATAAATTCAAAAACCAGATTTTGATTATTTCTTATTACAACAAGCTATTTCTGTTTAGTAAGTCTGTTTAAACTATTTCTACAGCCAATTTGACATTCTAGTATGTCTACCAAGAATTATAATTTGCCAAAGAAATAATTTCATTAAACATTAAATCAAATTTTCAACAACCTAACAAGCTATCACAATAACAATTCGCTGATGTAAAGGGCATTTGATCAGATGAAGTATAATATAAATAGTGACTTAGATTTAGTTTCTTTCCAGTCACTCTCTCAGCTGAAAGGATGCGACAAATCTGTCAACAGTTACACATGTTTCATGATCTACAACGATCTACATATCCCCGGATTCCTTGTACGGTGTCTCTACTGACACAAAGAAGTTATCAAAGAAGTCCTGTAGATATACGAAAGTGGGCCTTGTTTCCGGGTTTCGTTTCCAACAACTGAGCATGATTTCATAGTATGGATCTGGGCATGACACTGGTCCCCCAGTCATCTTGGGCATTCTGTAGCCCTTCTCCACTTTACTTAGCACTTCATGACCATTCATTCCTGTAACAAAGGCAAGTATGTAATTGTACTGACTTACATTAAGCAAGAGTTTCATTTCCAATAGTATGCAACAGTATGTGTACTGTCACCACTCTAAAATAAACAATAGTGCCATTTTAACCTGAGGCTAAGGATGGTGTACTGTTTTTATCACCAACCAAAGCAACCGAAGCCCTATCTAACATTTTCCACTTCAGATGTCACAATATTTTTTTCCCTCCAAATACAGACATTTGACATAATCTGATCTAAAGAATCAGCAGTACAGCAAAAATCCCATAAATTCTACTGCTAACATGTATAATGTTTTATCTCTAAGTGAAGAAATAGACAATGATGTAAGTAAAAGATAAACTGAAAACATGTATATCCTTTGGGAATGTTCACATTCACAACAACTTTGTTTACAGATATCCTTAAGGGACATAACTCCCTTGAAACGTCGAGACAAAAATATCATCTCAATACCATAACTACTTTAAGCACTAATATGCATCAAGATTCACGTTCATGGAGTGTGTTGGATTGTGAACCTTTATATTTCACCTGTAGTTAAAATTGCAATTTCATTACCTGGATAAGGCACACGTCCAAACGTGAGGATTTCATACAAAAGGACTCCAAATGACCACACGTCTGACTTGATGCTAAATTTTCTGTCGAAGGCAGCTTCAGGAGCAGTCCACTTGATGGGGAACTTTGTATCTGTGAAATAGAAAATCAGCAATGATCTTCCCCAGGAAACATAGGCTAGATATCTGACACATCATTAATGGTTTACAGGTTACTCCCTTTGAATAACTTTGCTTCAGAATTATAACTGGACAGGAAAGTTAACACACGTTCATGTATACCTGAACCAATGTTGTTTACACAATAGTTTGTTTACTTGTGCTGGGTGTCTTAAAACCATCAACAATAGAGAAAATCATAAGGCTGTAAGAGATTTTCTTTGTTTTTGCATTTATCATTCTACAACAGCTAAATCATTTTAAACGTCAATCGCTTTGCAATTTTCATCTGAACAAACACTCAACAAGGCCAAAACTGGGATACTGGGAAGTATACATTATGCCAAAGATGTAGTTTAGGTGCAAAAATAAATCTGAAATCATGCATTCAGTGCAAGAGATAATAGTTTATTTCACATCTGAAATTAGGTGGTATGCAAGAGATGTGATTAAAATTTTGTTTTGCTTTGAGCTTTCGTAAATTGGCAAACTTATTATTATCGAGCAAAGCTAAGCTTTAAACATAACCTGCAAGTACATAACTTGAAGATTAAAAATAATATTTTTAAAAAGTACTGTTGAGCACCTTAAATTTCTAGGGTCAATATTTCATTTTGTTGATTATAGAAATATTCAGGGGAATTAAATTTTGCTGTGCACCTGTTTCCAATATTTCATGTATCACCTGTGTATCAATGTAATTCTAAGCTTAGTATTACTCCAGTTTGGTTTGCAGTGTCCCATCTCGTCATGCAACAGTAACTTCACTCGAACATATCAGGAGTAAGTTGTAATCAATACATTTGTCAGCTTTGCGTGATTTTCTATCCAACTGTACAGGGACAGCTTGATTTATCTCAACACACATGGTGTAATGGAGTTATGAATTATTGAGCAGTCTTAAGTGGAACAGGATATGTGTCATGTTTGTTATGCACCGTGCATAATAAACGAGTTAAAATTTGAAATACAAATCAGTAAATGAAAACAATAAAGAAATGAGAATGTCTTCTACAAATCTACTCCATCATTTCTGACTAAATAGCTGTATCTTGTAAAAACAGTATTTGACGATAAATTGTACTTACGTTCATGAGCTTCATATATATCTTCCTGTATCAGCCTGGCCAGTCCAAAATCTGCTACCTTCACTTCATTGTTCTCTCCAACTAGAATATTGGCAGCTCGCAGATCCCTATGAACGAAGTTTTCCCTCTCCAGGTATGCCATACCATCGGCAATCTGATCAGAACATACAAGGTCAATGTTAAATAATACAATATCAGACAACACTTGTAAAACATATATACTAATTCTTAATATTTGTGAATAAAACACAACATATTGTCCCTTCTCCTCAAATCCTTTAAAAAAGACATTTTTTTAATTCAAAACATGTCAGAAATTATTTTTTTCTGTTTGACTGCCTTTTTGTCAATGTTAAACAATCCGTGTTAAATCATAATGATGAAATATTTCTCCACATATATTGTTGATTGCATCATTTTTTAAAATTATTTTCTGAGTATTATCTATATATATATTCAGCAACACCCATGACTGTAAGTACATTTGTTATCTATCTACTTTACATTATAACATAACTGGTCTTACCTGTGCGGCAATATCTACTAGGACTGGAAATCCTATATGTTTACCCTCATCTTTCCTAAGATAGTCGAGCAAGGCTCCATTGACCATCAACTCGGTGATGATCCACAGTGGCTCTGTGGTGGAACACACAGCCAGGAGTTGGACCAATTTACGGTGACGCAATTTGTGCATAAGCTTAGCCTCCTGCAAAAAATCCTGAGGTGTCATGGCACCTGGTTTCAGGGTCTTTACAGCAACATCCACTGTATTTCTCCATTTTCCTATCAACATGAAATTAAATCAAATAAATTCTAGCAGTTTTGAAAATTGGTTCTTGAAGGTAATAAAGCAGTTTCCTTGCTTTTTGATTCAGAGACAAATTTATAAAACAAGACTATTTAATCTGTAATAATAAGAATGCCCAGTAACACTACAATTTTAGTGAGTGCTAAGATATAACACTAAGAGGTAGTATACAGAGGAAATATGTTTGGTTCAATAGGTATAAACAAATTTCACTGCAAGTTGCTTATCCAATCTTTCAATCCATTTGACAGGAAGTTAAACCTAGTCTTCAATGGAAATCATTTTAAGGTCAATATGAAAATGTCATGTTTTCCAAATATTATCAAAGATTGACTAATTATTCTGTTCTTGTATACCACACATGTGTTGGTCAATGTACCTGCATGAACATCACCAAAACATCCGCTTCCAAGTTTCTTGATGAGTTTTACAGATTCCCTAGCAACTTCAAGCTCCCGGAACTGAACAATGGGGCGGATCTTTGGACAGGCCTCTCCTAGCTGACAACAGAGTCCATCACCCACAGCTGTAGGAAATAGGCATATAGGTCTTAATCATTATGTGAAATGGTAGAGTAGTATCTGGTAACATACAGGAGGCCCCTCGCACACCATCTAAAGCTATATAGGTAAAGTGTCTTGTCCGAGGATACAACCATATCAGCACTGACTGGAAGTTTTCTCGGCTTCATAAGAATCATAAGTCGCCATTTATGGGTAAGAAACATCAAACTACACACTCTAAGTTATGTTAAGGCCCATACTTTAACAAACTGAGCTATCATAGCCTCCATAGTTATCATTGAATAATTGATTTTAGTATTCATTATAAATCTAAACCATTACAAGGGAACACTATGTAAAGAAATTTGCCTTCATCAACAACTTACCTGGAATTTAACATCTATTCCCCCCATAGTTATAAAGAATAAATAATTAATTTTTCAATTGTTAATCAATTCATGGACATATTTTTTATGTAGGGTACCCATAAAATCAACATAAATTAATGATTTGACATTAGTCGTCTCTAATATGCTGGCACTTACACTGGTAATGAGCAATGAGCTGCAGCATGCTCTTGAATGTTCTTCTTGGACTGATGTAGAAACCACCATTATCCATCTTACGAATTCTGTAGTGTTTCACACAAGCATCAGCTGTCTTCAGATCATGGTCACGGATTGACAAAACATATGATGCTTTGTCTGAAATACACATAATTTGTCATACATGAGTCAGATGTCGTTTGACAATTACAAACTGAGTAACATGGTAAGCGAGACAATGGTTTAATACAACTGGTGATCAATGTCAGAAATGAAACAGAGGAAAGCGATCTTCTTAAAACAACGTCTTTCACCAACTGTAAATATTTTTCAGGTACCCACTACACAAATGCTAGCACTCTCTTAGACTCCACCATCCATTTATCACCAATTGTAGAACTTGAATATGAAAACTCACATATAGGTTATATAGTCTAATGCAATTTTGACAAATTATACATTCAAACTATTTCCATATTTGATCAAGAATCAATTTTCATCACACAAAGGTTAAGGTTCTTTAATATTTTCACACTGCCTATATAAAAGTCTTCAAATTTTTGCTAGTAAAAATATTCATCTGTGTCAACTTGCCTAGGGAGCAGAATATTGATTATAAATGTATATTACCTGCAGATTCTCTGACAAGGAAAGTTCCAGTGGCATTTCCTGGCAACATGAGTTGTTTTTCCCCCTCCTTCCTGTCTACATTATACCACCAACTGTCAATCAAAAACGTAACCATTACACAGTCATGTACACCATATGAGTCTAATGGCTAAATAATGTCTCCCTTCTGTAAGGATCACAACACACACCTTTGATCTTAACTGGAGTTTGCAAAGTCTAATTCTGTGCATACTCCACAATATGTGTGGGCTAATTTACCAGGTATCATTTTCATATATGTACACAGTAACATTGTTTCTTTGACCAACATCAATCTGATTTCCCTCAATCTGCTTCTAAAACTGCATGAACTGTTTTATAAGATTTGTAAGAGGCAGAGTGATTAATATAAACTGGCTGATGATGGGAATACTTACTCCTGTGCCTGTGGAGTGTTGTCGTCCTTACACACATAGTTACTGGGAATGTAACCTGTCTGACCTGTAGCCATGTGACGTGCCATCCACCAATCACAGTTCTGACTGTTAAACAAATAGCACACAAGTCAAACCAAAGTTTGATGATTCAAGTAATGAAGAAAAATTAACAAATGCAGAGCATAAAATTTTACAATAAACAACATTAGCATCTTCTGTCAAAACTTTGTGCTTTTGTCAGCAGTAGATAATACATACAAACATTGCCCACCAGTAATATGGTAGAGTAAACATAGTGCCAAGAGTAATGAGTTACTTTGCCTAAATATCTAGCTCTAATACTACATAGTCCTTTTATGAAGCTATATTCATTTACATATAATGATTCCCCAGGTACAAATCTCTTAGAACTCTACCTAAATATAACATATTCAGTAATATCGTATATCTCATAGGCGATAGGGAAATGTTCAGTAATATCGTATATCTCATAGGTGATAGGGAAATGTTCAGTAATATCGTATATCTCATAGGTGATAGGGAAATGTTCAGTAATATCGTATATCTCATAGGTGATAGGGAAATGTTCAGTAATATCCTATATCTCACAGGTGATAGGGAAATGTTTAGTAATATCCTATATCTCATAGGTGATAGGAACATGTTCAGTAATATCGTATATCTCATAGGTGATAGGAAAATGTCATGAAACTACCACATATTAAACTTACATATATGAAGTCTTTAAAAAAAAAATAATAAAAACGTCTTTTTGTATTTATACTGCAGCAAGTTGACTTCTGCTGGCAATTTTAGAAATGTGAACTACAGATGGTAAAGTGTGCTAATCACCAGGCATGGATTTTCAGACACAGAAATACACCATAAAATACAATGTATCAATACATGGTGACTTATGTAGTGTACACATACCTGGACTCCTCCACCTCAAGTCGATCCCCTTTCTTGAACGAGAGGTCATCATCGTTGATGGCATCAAAGTCATACAGGGCACGTACAGTGTTGGACTCTAGAAGGAAAGTATTCTTCTCATTTCCAAATGTTATTAATGTGTAAAGCATAATCAAAGCCTTTCAATAGTTAACCTTTTATTTACCAGGGAACGTGTGTTATTTATCACTAGAACTTAGTATGTTTACTGCTATTGTCTATAATTACATGATCATTGCATCATTTATGATAAAATTCATACGTCAGCTAACTTTTTACTTATAACTGAACTTTGCAATGTCACTGCTATTGTCTTGGACATTTTCCTTTCAAAGCATTTTTTTACCCATTTTACTATCACTGTTGTAAACAGGGACCAAAGGGAATTTTGATTTTAACACCCATTTGTTTCGTTTCCTGAAGCTCAAAATAAAAAAAATATATTCATCTAACATTTGAAATTCATTAATTCAACTTGATACTATGCGGCTAATTTGACCAGGTATTCAATCCTTTTAATTGTATAGTCATTTTTGTTTTACCAAATACACTGATAGTTGATTGTGCATTATATACAGTACAAGACTGAAATCCTAAATTTATAACAGCCATTATTATCTTTGATATTAAATCTGGTGTAATGTTTGAAAAAATATATTAATGTTTATATAGTACTAAAATATTGATCATGAAAATAATCAAATGTTTTAGTTGGATGTAATATACCAATCACTTTTAACCACAATTAATGTTTTTTTGTATACAAGTTTATCACCAGGCCTAGGTTTGGGATTGGGTTGTGTGAAGCCATGACAAGCGGAAGCATTGGAACAGAAATATATTAAGAACGTGTCTGTGAAGTGGTTGGAGGTAAGCAGCATCAGAAAAGTTGAGGCCAAATAAGCAAGTGTGGAACTGGGTTTGTAAATATCATAAAAATTAATTGGACATTTCAACTAAAGAAATAGCAGTTCAATATATCACTTTCTCGTCATTTATGACTAGGTGAAAGGAAATTGATTGATTCAAACCTAGGAACGTGATCAGATTCTCAATAAAACTGGTCCTAACCAGGAAAAGTGCTTTACCCCATTTGCATGTATCTTTTACATACACACGTTATAAACAATTTTTAATACATTTAAAACACAAGCAAGAAAATGACTGCTAATTCAAACAACATCAAATTATAACCAACATCTTGATAAAAGGGAACTTTTGACATAAATGTGGCGGAGAAACATTTTAAAGTCACAGAAATAAAATAATGATTTAAAAATCAGAAATCTGTAACACACAGTAAACAATATACATATAAATTTATCTCATGGACAATTTTGATAGATATATACAAAAACACACCAACAAACACACTTTTTATATGATTACTTGTACAGAGGTGAAATTTGGCGCATTTTGTATAAATATAAGAGTTAAGATGTTATAATGAAAGATATTACTACCTGAGCATTTTTCAGTGAAAGATGATGTACACGCTTGTTTAGTAAGTATACAAACATTAATTATAACAGCACATACATAGTAACAGCATACAAAAAATATGAATATATACACATATACAGTGTAAGATTTTAATGTGAAGTAGGTTTATAAGTAAATTTATTATCATTACACTGTAAAATCATAAATCATGAAGACAAGAAAGCAAAAAAAGTTGAGTGTTACAAAAATAAATGTCATGATCTAGCTGTTGAGGCAAATGAGACAAGCAAAAACAACTAAAGTTGCTGCGGGATGCCTTGTGAAAGATAATAGACCAGCATGGCGCATGAACACAGATTAAAACCAGAATGACATCAGAAGTGGTTCGAAAAGTAAAAAATACAGAACCCAATAACCAATCAAAATTGATGTTACATCATATACCTACATGTATCAGCATAAGGCAATTAAATCAACACTTAAACAAGGCCCCTATAAATCACAACTGATCAGTAAATTTACATACAAAAATCATGTCCAAAGTTTAGTGAGTCAACAATCAACGACAAAATTAGTCAAAAAAAATGAGTAGCATGTACATTTGTAGCATGTCAGGAGGAAGAGTGAGTGATCAGGACAAATATTGACAAAGAGCAGTCAGTCACTCACCTCTCGAGTGTTGGAAATAGCCTTTGAGAAATGGACATTAGTAAATGATTAGTCTGTATGTTTAAGATGAATGGATGGCAAATGGCTATAAAACATCTTGAAATATTAGTAAATCAATATAGTATGTCATGATATTGAAAATGATTTTGTTGTCAATTCAAGTAATTCCTAGTAATTTCAACTTAAGAACTGAAGAGTGATCAGGAAACTCCAGATATAAAATATTTAGAAGCTTAAATACTACATTTTTCAAGAGTAGATGTATTAAAAGTTTGGTCATTACCAAGTCAACTAATTTTTGTCCATGATATCACCTCTTCTGATTCTTAAAGGGCACTAAATAATGTGGACCATATCATAATAAATATGGTATAGCTACAATACACTACGATGGAGTGTGATAACCACGCTTCCCTACAGCTACAATACATAACAATGAGGTGTGATACCACAACTTCCCTATAACTACATTACACTACAATGTAGTGTGATAACACAGCTTCCCTACAGCTACAGCACATAACAATGTGGTGTGATAACACAGCTTCCCTATAACTACATTACCCTACATTGTAGCATGATACCCACGCTTCCCTATAACTACAATATACTACAATGGAGTGTGATATCCACGCTTCCCTACAACTACAATACATAACAATGAGGTGTGATACCACAACTTCCTTATAACTACAATACACTACAATGTAGCATGATACCCACACTTCCCTATAACTACAGCACAAAACAATGAGGTGTGATACCACAGCTTAATTATAACTACAATTACACTACAATGTAGCATGATAACCATGCCTCCCTATAGCTTAGATACAAAACAATGAGGTGTGATACCACAGTTTCCCTATAGCTTCAATATAATATAAGGTTTACTTATTGTTACAATCCACTATAATATGGGATAATGTATCTGCAGACAAACAAGAGATCCCAAAGTGTTCTTTGCTCCCTGTATTGTTAGATTTCGTTTATTCTATACAAGTTTTCTTTTTTTTTCTCTTCTTTCCTCCAGTTCCGCTCTTAATCATATAAAATTTTAAAGTTTCCCTCAAGAAATAGTGATAACAATCTTTAACTCTCTAATCCAAGATGGTCATCAAAGCAAATCTAAATATGAAATTTGAAAAAGACCGATCCAGTACTAATGAAATAAACTTTCAAACTTTCAAAGTCAAAATCCAAGATGGCACCTGTCAGCCATTTTGCTTTCCTGATTAGTCAAAAGGGCACAACTAGGGAACAATTAAATGGGGAACCTAAATATGAAATTTGAAAAAAGAACCATCCAGTACTTCTCAAGACATCATTTTGTGATAACAAACATTCCTTGTAAAAATCCAAGATGGTCATATTGCTATTTTATCCATCCAGTTTCTCCAGAAATAGTGATAACTAGAAATGCTTAAGGACTGACCATTTGTATATCCCAACATCTTATGATTTTGAACCAATAAAAATTTACAACAGGCAAATAACTCCATTCCATTATAATGCTCATTACATTATTTTCACATGTGCATCAATGCTAAATGACATTTTTTCTGATATTGAGAAATCATCAATATTTAGTGTATTGCATAATGTGATAGTAATTGAGAATTTGAAACACAGCTTGTTTGAGGCATCTAACATAACACATTTGCATTTCTACAAGAAAGAAAAACTACAAGTGTAAATTAAGTGTATGCAAAGTAATCTAGAAAAATATATCTTTACTGAAATGTTGTTATAAATTGTTGAAATAAACCATGTAATGGTTACAGCAGACAATAGGCATAATTTACAACTAATGCACTGTGCAATGCAATAAAATGTTTCATCATGATAGTCGGTATGAAACATCGGGACATTTCCTGCATTTGTATTCTGTTGTTATGCTCTGTCCCTGTTCTCAAGAATGATTCTTCTGATATAATATGTGTGAAAAAACATGAAACTAACTAATTAGTTTCTATTGAAGTTTTGAAAAATTAGGGATTTATTTCAAATTTAACTTAAAAACCTACAATTTAAATATATATTTTAATGAAATTGCAATACCAGTGCACATGTATTATACTTTACATTTCTACATCGATACATTATATGTACATCTATATGATGATATAATCCTTCGCCTATGCAACACTTAATGAATTAGTAAGCAGTGTCAAGCAATCTAAAAGCATGGCTTCACAACACTCACCTCTGTTGGGAGGTGGGGGTGGCAGGGGACGAACTGGACTCGTACTATTTATAGTAACATTGACATCGTTGACATTGAGGGACACCGTCTGATTGTCGACTTCATTGGCTGGTGGTGGTGGGCGGGACGGTGGTCGTTCAGAGTCACTCAGGCACTGACCCATGGTTCTGCTACCTTTCCAAAATTTCTCTCATAAATTGCTTAGGTGTTGTAGTCTTTGGGTTAACTCTGCTTTACAAAAGCAACAAAAACAAATATTTATTCACAATCAATCAAGAATAAAACTAGAAAATGTCTGTAAAACATGAGAACGCCCTCATGTGATGCTTGGTAATAAAATACTTTTTTGTGTCTAAATATTTAAACATGACATCTGAGATGCTGTCTTAATAAAGTGAATAATCATTCCAACAAAGTTGAAAACTTATGTCAAAAGGACCTTCAAATTAACACAGTAGTCAAGTAGTCCTTAAGAACAAAATATTCTGTCTGTAAAATGATAATTTAATGCTGATATTCACATTTGTCATGCTGTTGTTGATATTTTCATTTTTACAGATCTCATGATCATGCTTGTTTTAGCACAATAATTAAAAATGTAAATCATCATTTTAGCTGCATATTTTTTTGTCTAATGATATGTTTGAAGTGTCAAGACTGAGTAACGCAGTTTCAGAGAAGCATACATAAAACATTTTTTATCCAAATATTAATTATAACCTTAGTATACACCAAGCCATACCAATAAATAAGTGACATACTTATACAGATAACACAGTAGTGAAGTACTTCCCAAATGAATACACATTTCAAGTTTCAAGACATAATTATGCAGAACTCCGGAGCAAAGTTAACTTCCTGCTTCAGATGGACGAATGTAAGGAATGGGGAAAATGTCAAAAGCCTCTCTACTATCGTATGGGGCATATATCAATATATTTAAAACTCCCAGGTGATGTCATATTTCTAAAAAGCAGTTGATGTCCGAAACAACTTTATCCGCTGGTCATTAAAGTTTCCATGAGTGACTATGATTAAAGAAAATAGCAAGCGTGCATTCATCAGCAGTCTTTTCTGTCTGCCCGTCGGTTTAATGAGACGGTCATTGACAGTGACAGTATGTTCCGTTTTATGACAACAGACACACCTGCATTCCGTAACGGACTGTTCGTATAGTCTGTTATTCATATCTACTTTTTAAATAGGATTTTAAAGATGATCGTACAATTTTTCCAATAGTATAAGAACTTACCATATAAGTTATGATATCTTTGGGAGAAATCCCATCGAAAAATAACTTTCAAACTCTTTTTCTACTTCATTTCAACCAGGAAGTCAGGCCGGAAGGAGACGCACGTCTCGTAAAATCACGTTACGATCTCGCATTAAAAAACACACACAGAGTTGTCGTTCTTTACCCAAATAATGATTTTTTTTTTTCTTTTCAAGCACCGCTTGCTTTAAGTCGGATTTCTATCACTACATAATGGTCCATAATAGCGTATTTACAGGTTTATTTGATAAAAGATAAGACATACCTTGTTGGTCTTTTAGAAGATTGAGGCCTGAAAGTGACTCATATTAGCCTTTTTTATCGAATAATTGAGATAGAGATGGTAAGAAGATTACTTGAAAATGATTTTCCACCTTGAGAAACCCAAGTTTCGGGAAAATCTTAACGTGACATTGCTGAAATTCAGAGGTGCTTGAAAATAAAGCGGGAAACAAATAAAGAATAAGTTTTGGAAATATTGAATGTTTTCCTTATCAGGGATAAACAGTGTTCGAAGTCTGGAGGAATACTTAAATGATTAACTTGCTACATTCAACATAGACCAACAAGGAAGAAGAAACAATGGAACAAATCTGTTATTACAGAAATTAATAATATGGTATACTGATAATGATAATTTTCAAAACTTTTTTTTTAATCCGAAATGCCTCTGACGCAATATTGGGTAATACAATCTTTAGCCAAAGACTAAAGAACGTTTTGGTTATGTTGAGGTACTATACTTTTACATGTAAATATAAAAACAACGTACTAACATTATAGTCATAAAAAACTTTATTTTGTTCGAGTACTGAAATTATTAACAATCATTGCTAAAAAGAACAATTCTACAATCCTTCAACAATGAACAATATCACTGTATCCCATATAAGTTCCCATAAACATTTAGGAGTATGGTTGTCAGATAATGGTTCATGGAATACCCATGTTGATTATATATCTGTTGAAATGTGTCACAAAAACTAGCTGTATTAAAAAGCCTAAAATACTCTTGATAGAATTTCTCTTCAAACAATATATTTTTCATTTATTATGTCGATACTAGAATATTCTGATATTGTCTGTGCTAATTTACTTAACTACTTATGTCAAAATGTAGAAAACATCCAGATTGAAGTCACGCGAATTGATACGGGTTCTACAACATTGTCAGGTATAAGTCTACTATATAAGATATGGACTTGGAAAAGTTATCTAAACGACGGAACAATTATAAAATCTTATAGTTTTATAACATGTATCACAAGAAAACACCACCGTATTTGTCTATTTCAGCCCCAGATGAAGTATCCGATAGTCATATTACAAGAAACACAAACAATTTACTCTCAATTAATTGTCGAATTCAGTTATAAAGATTCACTTTTAAATTCCTCAATATAATTATGGAACGCTTTACCTGAAGACATTCCTGAAAATCGGCCAGAAACCCCAAAGCTTTTTACATAAAGATAAGGTAGTAATCCCCCAGTACTTTGATATTGGTAGCAGACCCCTTCAAATATTACATGCACGATTACGACTTAAATGTAGTAATTTAAAACAGTAGGTTTATATCAGGAATCTAGAGGAAAGTCCACTATGTAGTTGTGGTTTCGTAGAAATTAGTTTTCATTTCTTATCATTATAAAGTAATTATACCGCAACCAGACAAAATACAATACTACAACTAGATATATAAATCTTACTGCAGCAAATCTTCTATGTGGAATGATAGTTACTCTAGATAAACATGAAGAATTTGTTTTGACTGTTCAAAAGTGTATAAAAAGTTAAGTAAGTATTTTGATTAACATAGTCTTATACTTTTTGTAATGAGTATTTATTTTGTTGTATCTACTGTATTAACAGCCTATTTTTGATACACGTTACCTAATACCATTGTATACTGTAACTTGTACTTGACAACAAGTATCAATTACGGCGTCATATATTTTGTATATATGAAATGTATTCTTACAATCTTTCATATTCACCACATATACATATCATGTCGAATTGTTAAATCTGATTGTTATTCACAACATGATGTGTGCAAGGTGTTACAAGACCCGAAGGTATATTTGCTGTTGTGTGTACTTGGGAAAGGAATAAAAGTAAGCTCGAAGCTTGATTTCTTAGCCCAAAATACAAAATACAAAAACTGTAAGTTTACTGTGTTGTTATATTTAATAAATCATTTTGTTTAAACTAAGTAAACATGCAGCGAAACCAAGGACATAGATCTTTCTCTAAGTCCGTGACCATACATATAAAAAAATCAATATTATAATTTGAATTAAAACGCAACGTGATTGTTAGCATTTGTCATTGAACGAATAACCAGTGCTTCACACCAAACTCTACCTTGTTTAAGTCCTTGGTCAAAGATACAAGTATATGATAATGATTAAATGTGAAAATAACAAAATAACGTATACCGTTATAACTATATTTATTTATCAATAACGAGATTAAGGAAGAAAAGAAGGGCGAGGTTTGACACTTACTTCTATCTGGTTAGAACGAAATGATCAAGCTAACTTAGACTGTGTTACATAGACATTTCTCGTTCCCGTGAAGGTAAGACCCAATGAAACTATTTTTTGAAAAATAGTTCTATTGATATCGCTAGTTTGAAAAAGTGATATCGCTTAATGAATTACGAATATCATATTCTGTAGATGTATGCTAAAAATCGAATTAATGATATCAACATATCTGGACATTTAGTGATATCATTAATTCAAAGTAGTGATACCATTAATTCAAAGTAGTGATACCATTAATTCGAAGTAGTGATAGCATTAATTCGATTTAATTATTCTCTTACATTTAATGAAATCATTGAATGTGTTGAATGAATTGGTGATATCACTGAATGAATTATTAATATCACTAATTCCAATTAATGATCTAATTAATGATACTGATAAATGAATAAGTGATATCAATAATTCTAACCAATGATATCACATTTTGTTGATAACGAGTGTTCTCTGGGTACATTTATATACTGTTTCATATAAGCTGCCCTTTTCTTACCTGGATTTTTACCAGAGATTTACCTGTGTTTCTCACAACCTATCTTCACATGATTGAGATATCACATTAAATATATGAATTATATTTGATGAGATTACTGAATCATTAAGTTTGACTTCATTTAGCACTAAAATTGAATTATTATGTCGGATGATTTAGCACTACACCTTGATATACTTCTCAGATCATTATGATATAAAAAGAAAAGTACATACAATAATACTAATATTTCACTAAGTAATACATCATAGACAATGTACTATATCTAACTTAATTATATTTTTTAGTTTTATACAATTAAGTACCCGAAAAAAGTGTAAGATTTAAAGAGAAAAGTGTCTGAAATAAAAGTAGAGTTTTAGAAATAAAGAGAAAAAAAGTATGTAATTAATGGTTATGAAAATGCTACATTTCCGATAATTGGTATCAAACCCACTAATATATCAATGAGAAATGATTCATAGTCATTTCAGTTTCATTTGATTTTATAAACTTTTGGCCTAAGGGCCCATCGATACATTATGTATACACAAACACAAGGTTAAAGGTATTTGTAAATATATGTAAATATAGTCAACAATCTTTTCTATCTCAGTGTCATGTTCCAGCTGAGCGCACAGGTTGTATTTACTTTCAGAGTCATTGGATAGTACGGAGCCCGGGAACGGACATCAGGAAAAAATGTTAATCCGTGACCTCGGTTTAGCAATTCGTGACCTCGGTTTAAGTAATCCTTGGCCTCGGTTTAAGTCATCAGTGGCTTCGGTTTAAATACAGCCTTTATTAAGCAATTATACCATTTTTAAATACGTAAAGAATATGCATATGAACTGAAATAATGGTTTACTTAATTGATTTGGCATTGATCACCCCAAGTGTAAACTGTAATATGGAGCTATTATTTTACTACTTAGGTTAATTTTTATTATGGAGGAGCATGATTTTACAGTAAAACAGTCTATGGAAATTACTGATCAATTTACGTAATGTGTACCAACTTCCGAAAAAGGGGAGTTAACCGAACTACCTACGCATGTTGAAATATCTATCATGTAGTTTTAGTGGGATAGTGGATACATTTTTGAGTGCCCAATGGGGCATACCTATCGGAAGAGGGGAGATAACCAAATCTGATATAGATTTTTAACATGGATCATTAACTGCCAGCAAGTTTCGTTGTGATTTCTTATTGTGCAATACTTGTTTGATTGACACAAGTCACAGTGGATGTGTTGTCAATGTCATACCTATGTCTAAGTTGGAAAACATTTGTAATGAAAAGGTGAGCAAGCTTGCAGACTCGATTGCCAACACGAAAGCTGAGATAGACAATGTCTGCCAAGATTTACTGAAACACCAGAAGAAATGAGCCAGAAAATAAAAATTCGCTTCATGGCACGCCGCGATGCTATGTTACTACATCGAACAAGCCAGATCGAAACAAAACAGGAGTGGCCTTGTTACAGAAACTAACGGAGTTTAAAAAACAAACACACGTGTGTAAACTGGCCATCGAGAAGTACAAACCTAGCAACCTTTCACTAACATTGCAAGATATTGATAAATCCGAACAGTGGATACCGACAAAAGTCTGTAGCACTGACGCCGAACGAACGTCTGCTAAAAGTAATGTCGATGGAGTCGAGAATGATGTGGACAAGAAACACATGACAACCCCAGCAACTGTAAATAAATCGAAACGCGAGTTTGATCATTCTAAACCACTATCTTACAAAAAACGCTTCCCAGGACATTAGGAAACACACAATAACACCCCCCTGAAATACGCAACAGAGATTTCGTATTTTCGGTCAACTGTCTCGGCAGAGGAAAAAGAAAGGTATTCAGTCGGTATAGGATGGATTGATGATCGGCTAATCATTGTAGATTGACGGAACAAGAAGATTAAGCTCTTCCGTGTTGATGATGCATTTCTAGAATATTTCATTATCGCAGACGGTGAACCTTGGGATGTCGCGCTTATGAGTAAAGCCAAGAGCGATGAAAACATAGCATTTGCCACCGCGTTGAACAACCGATTCTGCCTTGATACGGTACCAGCATGTCGCGTTATCATGACTGTAATGATTCCAGTTCAAGGACAAATGGTAGCATGTACTCGAATCCAGACCGCCATTGGATATGCTTGCCTTTCACATGCTCAAAAGCTAGAATTAATTGTTGCTGGTGTCTGCGCGCCATTCGGATATCCTCGGGTTGATTTGTTAAAAATGGACGGGCAACTGATAAGAAGCATTGCCGTGAACCACTAACATCAACCTCTGTTCTCTGCTCCTCGATCAGTTGACATTTCGGAAGACGGAATGATCGCTGTGAGTGATTGGAGCCGGAATATGATCATATTTCTCCGAGTAGATGGCAGCATAGCCGGGGCGCATGATTGGACGAGAGAGAGCCATCTGCGAGAACCGACTGGAACCTCTCTAGATGGACGTGGAATGTATTTGTTGCTGACAAGAAGGCTGGGGTGATAATCTTTTCAAGCTTGGTGGCGAGAGCTTGGGGACGCTGAAGTCAAATACGGTTCTTCAAGAACCAAGGGAGATAAATGTGTTTACGGGACCATGCCCACGACTCGCCGTATCTTATGGCTTGGGATACTTATCATTATTCATCACAAAGTACATATTATATCTATGTTAGTATCAATGGTACCCAGTTTGTGTTTTCATTTTTTGAAACGACGGACTTGAATCTACTTTTTGATCAGTGAAGTTTAAAATGAATAATTTTCAGAGAACATTTATAGTTTTTTTATCAAAAATAAATCTACTTATATATATGACTTTCTGTTTCTGTCGTCAGTTTTGAGATACACAGCCCTTAACGTTTTGTCTGTTATCATTATATTTCCCATTAAGTCTGGGAGAAATCTACCTCAATTTTATATGTATGTCTCCATTGGTCCTTCACGGCCGATGTTTTATTTTGTCACTGAAAAAAATGGCCGTTTATTTTTATTAAAATATGGATGATATTATCACCATTCAGTAATAGGTCGTTCCCATATGTAGGTTCTTCTTTATCATTTCTTATGCACTTCCGGTGTAAAAGCTGTCCTTTAAAATACACGTAGATGACAATCTTGTATAACGGCGATTGATGTTTCTGATTACATCTTAAGATGAACTGAAAAGATGTCTGTCAAATTAAGTTCATTCTTTTTTGTTTCTTGTGAAATTTAATCATATGATTTCTGATAGGCAGCCATGTTCAATTTAGATATTTACAAATTGCTGGTTATCAAAAAGTGCTCGATGAATCTTTCCCAAATTTCACATGTTTTTCTAGTCCAGCGGTGTTGCAAATAGTTACCATATAACTGAAACTCGTGTAAAAAGAGCAAATGATGGAGAAGTAAGTAAAGGGAATTTGAGCAAAGAAGTGAAAATATCCAACTTCTATAAAATGACGAGATGCGATAAAGAGTTTGGTGCTAAGGCCTTTATTGGGTCGATTGTGGACAATCCATATGTACCAGTTGAAAAATAAACGGTGACCAGTACGTGTTTGTGTTTTATTTGAAGAAGGACGATGTCGGATGTTTCATGTTGGACGGGTTATAGGACAGAGGCGAAGTGATATGACACACGTACCTAACATACCTGAAAGGGCTGGCTATTCAATTCGGGATCGTCGAGATAAGGGGATACACTGGTATCACTATGTACGTTACAAACCACGGAGGAGTGACATTTAACTGAATGTTGACCGTTACAACCGTCCAAACTGAGCCGGTATAGTGCGTAGTAACTGTCTAAATAGGTCAGGGTAGGCCCATATACTGCATTTACTAATTTACACTGTCATTTTGACACTCGTCATTTTTGGCTAGACGTAACGCTTTCAGCCTATTGTCACAGGCTGTGGAAGTATATGTCACAACAGGTTCGTATACAATGTTCCAGCCTTGTCTGTCAATACTTCCCAATACTGGGTTTGTAGCTCACTCGCCCTATCGAAACGACCCCATTTTGTGAAATCTGTGATTGTCCGGCACTAAATCGTTCGATATATCTCTCTTTAAGTGGTCTTGATCGACAGATAAATAACTTTTCTTTGATTTGATTCAAAACACGATTCACTACATGGCATGCCCGAAAACTGTCTTCAGACATCACCAAATATCATAAAATTTTCAGACTTCAGGAAGTCGGACACTCATTTTGGAAGCGAAACTTCAAAAACTAACTAACTAACGAGGCCACCATTTTGACTTCAGAAAATGCAAACTGATGTTCTAAATTTAACAAGTCAATCAACGCAGAGTTTTCAAAAGCTGGGCCAATCAGCTCCGTGTGTACAAAATACTTCGGTCATATCCATTTTCCTCTAGTCAAAACGTTAGCCTCGTTAAGACAATACCGGAAATTTTAAATTCGTGAAGAATGTTTAAATTCCAGTTTGAAGGGAAAAAAGTATTTATCAATCGTATGATCTAATATCATAGTAGTAAATAACACAAATAATATGACGTATCATTATCACATTTAATAAAATTATATTACATTCAATACAGCGTGACACGATGAAAACTATACAATTTTATATAATGTTCTGAATGTGGGCATGCTTTACACGGTGTAGAGGTTTATAGGAACACAAAGCGAGTCCTATCAGTGCTAATTAATAGGAACTACCATATCAAGACAACATATTGACTACCTACTGACTGGACAGGAGAATCTCGTACCAGCCCATATCATGCATATTTCTGTAAAGAACAATGATCATGGTATCAAACCATCTGGCTTTTTTCACCTTCATATTAAGCCTTAATTCGAATCCTTCTGAATTGCGTTAGGTATCACCCATTTGACACAAAGACCATTCCTCGTAAAGTTCTTTGGACAAGTCCCGGTCTGAAAGTTTGATATATAAATCTTCTATAAAAGATATGTCACAGGCTGTACGAGTTCCTGTAGAATCATTATGGTACAATACTGGGCAATATCAAGGATTGGTTGGATATCGATGTAAACCCGCAAACCCGAGCAGGAACAATATGGGGCGTATCCTTAATAAAACGAAAGTAAACTCACAGTGACCTAACATAGACGTAACGGGGCGTGTCCTTTATGACAATAAAATAGCCTCACCGAGACTTGGGACGTGCCACAGATCAGATGATGGTAAACTCACCACGACCTAGAAATTAATGAATGGGGCGTGTCATGGATCACATGATGGTTAACTTACTACGACTTAGCAATGATAGAATGGGGCGTGTCATAGATCACATGATGGTAAACTTACCACGACCTGGTAATGATAGAATGGGACGTGTCATAGATCACATGATGGTAAACTTACCACGGCCTAGCCATGATAGAATAGGGCGTGTCATAGATCACATGATGATAAACTTACAACGACCTAGCCATGATAGAATGGGGCGTATCATAGATCACATGATGGTAAACTTACCACGGCCTAGCCATGATACAATGGGGCGTATCATGGATCACATGATGGTAAGCTTACCACGACTTAGCAATGATAGATTAGGGCGTGTCAAGAATCACATTAAGGTAAACTCACTACGACTTAGCAATGATAGAATAGGGCGTGTCATAGATCACATGATGATAAACATACCACGACTTAGCAATGATAGAGTTGGGCGCGTCATGAATCACATTAAGGTAAACTCACTACGAATTAGCAATGATAGAGTAGGGCGTGTCATGGATCACATGGTGAACTTATCACGGCTTAGCCATGATAGAATGAGGCGTGTCATGGATCACATGAAGGTAAACTCACTACGACGTTTAGCAATGATGGAACTGGGCGTGTCACGGATCATTTGCGACTTAGCGATGAAGGAACGGAGCGTGTCCCGATATACCGCGGTACATGTGACAAGAACGACATTCGAGATGTCTTTGATTTCACAAAGTTGAATTCACTCAGAGCAGACAGGGAATTAATGGAGCGTGTCTATAATCGAGTAAAACTGGGCTTGTCCTAGATTGCCGATCGCAGATATGGTCGAGAAAACGTGGTAAGTGATAGGATCGACATAGCATATGGTAAAGCAAATGGAAATAATTGAATAGTTGAAACAATGTTAATTATTTGTTCGAGGACATCAGATTTCCTATAATTCTCCAACCGTGTTAGCATGGTTTCGAACTTCTTCCCATAAAAGGGCAGTGATTTCAACATCATTATTTTCGTAAAACAATGGATTTGAAAGTGAAATATACATATATGTCTTATCTAGCATTTCTGAGTTCAAGGATAGTGAACAGTGGTTTTGTCGTTGATGGTGACCGATTTTTTCCTCTTTGGAACGTTTTCTGTGTTCTCATTGCCCATGTGTCTCCTTGCCCCAGTGTTTGAAGTGTCCTCAGCTTTATACACTTTCTCGCTGGTAGTAACAGCTGGATGTAACACGAAATCCTGGTCAACTACATCTGTAATATCCTCTTGGCCTGTTGGAGATATTCCAGCCTGACTTGGTGACACCGCTTTTTTGCCATCATCATTGGGACATTTACTGCCGGACCTCACAAAGGCAGACTTGAGTCTCTTTGTGGGTTGTTTTGAAGTAGGACTAATAATTGCTGGAAGCTGATGTTTATGATCCTTGCTATCATCATACTCCTTTGTGGTGACGAGAGCTTCTGGACGGCATTTCTTGGTGCGTTTTGATACGGATCTTGTTTTATTTTCATGCCGATAGTTATCACAAGCTGATTCGTTCTCTCCATTGGCTACCTCTTTATCCGACTTTTTCAAAGCTGATTTGAGAGTCGTCTGTGTTAAAGATTTTGGACTTAACCCATGCAAGTTGTCACTGTCTGGCATTTGTGTATGGACAATACCCGGTACATATCTCCCTTTTTGTTTTTCTGAGCTTTCTCCAACTATCGGTATTTCTGTGTAAGGTCCAGCACTAATATCCCTCTGACCTAGGTCATCGTCGCTACATATAGATCCAGCCCTCTGGTCGTCTACGTGATTGACATGTGCGTTTTGAATTTCCGGCCTTTGTTTAAGGTTACCAACGTCTCTATCTGTATCCTGGAAGCCATCAGAAACTCTTCCCTTGTTAGTCTCTGTTTTCATATTGGCAATTCTCCTCAGTCTCATGGACGACAGTTTGGGATCCGAGACCAGTTTGTTATTTGTGTTAGTTTGTATCCTGCCGGATGATATAGGCTGATTAACAACTTCATTACGGTTGGCCCCTTCTATTGGAGGAAGAACACAAGTGTTTGTAACCGTTTTTGCCTTTTTCTGAACAGCATGTGGTCTCGTTGTTTTCCTAGATGATAAATCCTTACCCTTTCCACTGTATTCGGTGTTACTGATCGGAGGCAGCTTGCCAACTCCTCTCCAGGCTTGTGGTTTTTTGCTTCTGTCATTAACCTTGCTTGTTACTGATTTACCACCATGAAGCTGTAAGTAGGACGTTTTTTCACGAATTGGCGGTAATGTTATTTTTTCTGAATGTTTGTTTGATTTGGCTATTTCCTTTTGATCCGATTCTTCTTGATTCTTGATTCTGCTCTTCTGCTTGAACCAGACGTCTTTAACGATCTTGTTTATTTCCTCTTTCAGACGGTGGTAGTCACGTGATGCGTCGTCACGCTGGTGCTCATACATATTGTATAGACCTGACGAAGGAATACATACAAGTGTCGTAAACCAAAAGGCCTTATACTGTTTTATCATGGTTATGTTAATGAACTGAAGATTCAGAGCATTGTTCCACTTTGTCAATGTTTGCACAGTTATAAATAAACTAATTGAGTTACACAGTGAGAACTTGAACAATGACTGTTTTATTTTCGGTGAATCTTAATATCTTATTTTCAAGAGATTTTTTTTCAAACACAATATAATTTTTTACTTCATATCGATCTCTAGGCTCTACACGACTCTAACTATTGTAAAACAAAATCAAAGTGAAAAATATCCATTGAGAATCCCCAGTATACTTACTCTCAAGTGACTTTAACTTTTCCTGTAGGCAGTTGATGTAGGCTTGACTTTCTCGACAATGACTTGAACGGGGTGATTTTGACTGCGCATGTCCCGTCACCGGAAGTACCACGCCCATGCGACTTTGCTTAAGCATGTATAACTCTGTTTTTATGCGTCCGATTTCTTGATTAAGCATCTGATTGAATAATCGTTGACTATGAAACCTGAAACAGATAACATTTATTGAATACCAGATGATTTGTTTTCTCTTAATTGACAGTAGGTGTTTAATGCTTTGCATTAGTCTTAAGAATAACACACAAGTCTTTACGTCGTTCTTAAGACGTCTAGGCATTCATCAATATGTCTCCCATGAAGGTCAGAAATATTACTTACCCACTCATACTTGTCTAAAATATGATGTCATAGAATATACTCGTAAAAATATTATACTGATGTATCTTCATTAATGTGAAAATATTTGTCTTGGTTGTAAAACTATTAGAGATAAGAGATATATGATATTTATCCGAAAGAATAAAGTCCAGCTTCCTGTATTAACGAGTTTCCGTTTTACCGGTCCAGATCTTTTCTCCAGCTAACGAGATTTTATCTATTTAGATTTGGATCACAAAAGTTCCACGTTGTTGATTTGTTTTAACGAGGACCGCTAAACTAGCCCTGATCAAATCATAACTTCCTGTTAGATTTATAGAACTTTATATCCCGGATATTATGTGGAGTAGCACTTTTCATTCTATTAGAGATAATAGATTATATCGCTGCTCACAACCGCAGATATTGGACGTTTACGTTTTTAAATGTTCTTCAGGTTGGTATGTAAATGAATTAAAACTAGCATCTTATAGTTACTCTAGATAGGAGCTGCCTTTTTTGTGACGACACTCTGTCATCTGAATCGATCAAATGGCCAGTATTTTATGGATAAATAACATATCGTATATAAGAGACACTGGACTTAAAGTCCAATTAGATGGACATTAGAAGGGCGCGAAACTCATAGGTATAGTAAATATCATATGAGAAAATAGAATGGCTTTACCTTGATTGAGATAATCTCAAAATGACTGAAAGAAAGGGCATTGTGTTTGAAGGACAGGTTAAGAAGCCACCATCACACGCCGGCTGGTGATAAATCGAGATAAGGGGCCTACTTGGACTACGTAGCACATCTATGACCAAGTATAAAGGTGTAAATGAATTATCTTTTTATGGATCATTGTATATTAACTATTTAATGCACACCAGCAATGTAAGCAAACCGCCATTTTATTATTTTCTTTGTCTATTTTACAGGCTTAGTGAGACTATCACTGAAATAATGTCCGGTCGATCCGACTTTTGTGTTCGCCTCTGACTTCTGGACACATATAGTAAACACACATAGTCTAACTACTTGGGATATATTAAACTCTTTTCATAGATATAGGTGAATGAAAGTGGCACAGATATATCTCTTCTCTTTTGGTATATCAGTCGAGTCAGGTAGTTCTCATCTTCTCCGCTGTTATAGACCATACATTTACTTATTTAAGAACCCTTTATGATAGGCAATTATGTGATTAATGAAAAACAAAGACCATAATTACAGTTGGTAATCCACGGCAAAATGCCTGTCATTCCCTACCGATTCGACTTCCCTTTAATAGTTGTATGCTGTATAATGAATGTATAGTGACCCCTACTGAAGTACAGTGACCTCTACTGAAAGAGTAGTGACCTTTACTGAATGTATACTAACACCAACTGAGGTACAGTGACCCCTACTGAAAGAGTAGTGACCTCTACTGAATGTATACTAACACCAACTGAGGTACAGTGACCCCTACTGAAGGAGTAGTGACCCCTACTGAAGATATAGTGGCCACTACTGAAGGTATTCTGACCCCTATTGAAGGTATCGTAACTCCTGTTATATGGGATTTCCCGCTTTCATTACATTATTTTCGCTATAATAACGACAGCTCATTATTAACAGTAACATCACACAGAGGAAAGTTGGTGCGTATCCTAGCATGACGACAACGTGCATTTAAATCATCATGCATTAGTAACACATATCGTAACGTCTGGTTATTTATATAACATTCTAGTTTCTCCAATTTAACACAATCAGACAAAAAAAGATTCGATAATTTTAAAGAAGCTCCGCCCACCTGTTTTTCCATTCGGACTCACTGGGTGTGGCCGAGTCCATACTGGAGGTGATTTCTTCAATAATCTCTGTCCACTGTTCGACGGACTTCAGCATAACCTGTTCCATCTGTCGCTCCTTTTCCAAGGCCTCCAACAATTCGGAGACGCTTTCCATACATTCTTTATGGGAAGACTTCAGCCCTATGGCAGTCTTTGCCCTTTCCGCTGACGATTTTATAATATTTCGGGCGCTCATTCCTCTACAAGTGTGTATGCATTTTGCTACGCTACCACGGAGTAGATCATTGCTGTACATGACGTCATAATGTCTTTTAATTGTGACGTCACAATATTATGATCGCTAAGCTGAGGTCGTTGGCATTGACTTCGAGGTCATGAGCGCTACAAACATTTCGGTCAGTTTTTATGAGTTTAAGTTAAAGCTAGCGCTTTATAGTTTTGTGTGTGGAAATTCAATTATTTAACTTATAAAATATCCCTTCAAGCATTAATTTGGAGAGAAAAAACCATGCCAAAAACTTCTGACCAATTCAATACATGAGTCAAACAAAACTAACAAGCATTTCAATTAAAAAATAAAAACCCTTCATGCCAAAATTCTTGTTTGAATAAGTGAATTTGATTTCCTTTCAATATTATTTCCGACCCAAACTTGCCACATGTTCCAGGACTTTGAATGTATTTTAAACAAATATTATGAACTAATTTTATTTTGTAAATTATGTATGGTGTAAAAATGTGTGACACTCAAAGAAAATATTTGATCTTATTATTTCATTATTACTAATTTGTACAATGTTATACGTTATATCTCTTTAATTGAGTTTTGACCCATTGTTGAAATTTATATCTGCTATGTATTTTGTTGTTGTTATGTTTTCCACGTAGTGCGGCGTTTTAAGAAAAATCCTACCACTGATTTACACAATATTTGTTTCCATGGAGACTGAGCAGGGAATGGATTTATCCTAATGGTCACCAACTAAGGTTTGGTCACGTGCCAAGTGATTACGGCATAAGGTTGCGACAGAGTGAGACCGTAACACACATTTCCGGCAAACAAAAAATAATCAATATATAGACGACAACATCTGAACTTATCTCTTTAAAATGTGAATGTAAGGCAGGCACGCCGAAATCAGATTGTGTGAAAACGTAAATGTTGAGAAATGTCGTCGGACACGGACTGACTGTTCTTTGGTCTGTGATCAGATTGTTTTAAGAAGTTTGAATCTTTCTCCGCGTAGTCTATAACTAGCTTCTCAATTCTCAATCTGTTATCAAGCGTACGACGTCTCCATGTCTGGCGTCATGTCATTTTACATAACAGCTCTGAAAAATGCACCATCCATTAAACTGACAGATGTCATGTAGCCGTATGAAGTTGAGGTATTTGTGATCGTTATGATGGTTTTTGAACACCAGTCAATAATTTGTTTGCGGTAACGCGATGTTAGTGTATCTAGTTCTTCTAGCCGATTTAACAGGCTCTTGCTTCAATGTTATATAAATTACCGTTCCTGATCAGCAAGAATGCCAGTCAACCAATTTCACCACTTAACTCTACATTACCCGGTTTATTTGTACCTTCTTTTACCAGATGACCTTTGTGGTGCTGTACCAGCCCCACGCGACATCAGTCCCCGCCCTATCCTCAGACTGGCTCTAAGATATAAGATCTACGTCTTGCTACATTCCTCATTACGTGAGGTGCTGTCGTACCCTCGAGGACATGTGATAATACATGTTTCTAGGGGAGAGGGCCTCTATAGAATACTATAATTAGTAAAAAGGGACAACAGAAAAAAACAATCTAAGTCGACGGTAGTCGGCCATATATCCATGATATTTATAACTTTGTGCCAAAATGTTCGCTTATAAATAACTCTCAAGGAAAGCCAGCCTAATTACAATGAAGTACGTCTACATATTTTTCTGACCGCGAACGCGAGACTAATTCAGCGAAGTCTACGAGGTAGCAATGTCTGCTGTCACAGTCCCAACCATTTATAATTATATATAAACAGATATCCAGTAGATAATTTGTACATATATTTAATATGTATATATATATACGGATATACAAAGTGTAATAAAGTCTTGTATATATTGCATATTTGGTGTTTGTGTCATTCTTATATCAGCGATGCTAGTCGTGCTCGTACAGGGTACATGTTCCCACTGATATTCTCGTCAAACAAGGTAAGAATCTAGTCGCCTTCAGTAGGTATTAAGGTTAATTTCAGGTGATATTGTTCATCTACATAATATACATACTTATAAAATTTATAAATTGTCAGTCAAGTATTAAGTTCAAGAATAATCCCAGAAAGGAGACTAGGTGGTATGATCGGGAAAGCTAGTGTCTTTATGTTGACGAATGTGCATCTTAAGATTTCCGGAATTACGGTTCCTGTTTGTTTCACCTGTTATAATCCTATAGGCAATGGACTGTTATGATAGCATTTTGTACTGCATGTTTTTGGATATATTTATACAATATGGCTGACATTGTTGTTGCCGTGTCTGACATGTTTGTCGTCATTTTGTAAAATGACATTACTGAATATTTCTATTTTCTGAGATGTATACTTAAAAACATAGCCCAAGTCGTGACCTGATTATAGTGTTGGAGATTATGATGAAGCGTATAGATAAATGTACTACAGATTTTCCGGTTGGTCACAAACTGGTTTCTTCAATTGTAACTTGGATATATTACATTTTCAGGATCTCATTTACTGTAACTATTCTCGTCAATTCTGGTTCTTATCAATGTATTCTGAGGCCATTACACAGACAGCAGATATCACCTACACCTCATGGTAGCCATACAAAGAGTTATGTCGAAGTGATAGAATACGTTGTAACTTAATCACAAGGGGTCAAGAGAAAACTTCGAATTATCCAAGTATTCGAATTAAGTTAGTGTTGTTATCTAGGATATTACCTTGCTTTATAAATTGTGTATGCGTTAGGGTAAAGAGATAAAAAAATGTCAAAGACACGATAGAAGAGTCTATCGTGTCCTTCACATTTTTTTTTTATCTCATCAGCTCCTTGCTTTGATCTTTGCTTACAACGAAACCAACAGGGACAACTTTTAATCAAGTTGTAAAATTAAAATTATAAATACAATTTTTCTTGTAAATTTCCCCATTTCTGGGTAGTAACATCCCTACTTCCTCAGCTTACAGGCGTTTACATGTCGCACTTCATTCGATATCCAAGTACTTGTTCCAAATAGAAAAAAAACTCACAACACAGGGTTTGGAGAGATGCTGGTTTCTTCTGATGTGACATAAAAGTAATTTGGTTCAATGTGTGTTGCTATACTTTGTGATTTCGTCATTGTTTTCTTGTTTTCATTTGAGAACGTGGCATTACTTACTTGGATTAACCAAGATTTGCATATTGGGAGTCATGGATGGCACCCTTGTAGAACTGTTGTTCTTATCCTCCTTTTTGATATTCTTCGGGTTTAATTAATTCTTTGGTTATGCTTTGGTCTCGTTTGATCTATTTTAATTTGAATCGTGATGCTGTTTACGATATTTGATACAAAACAAATCAATATCTTTACTAAAAGCAATTCAACTTTATTAGATATACAAACAGTTTGGTACAGGGTATTTTAAACGTAAACAATGTATACAAGTAACTATTTGTACAGTATTCCAATATATTATAGAAATCCATACAAAAAAAGAACAATAGAAAATTGAGGTTATTATCCAGCCATACAACAGAGGCATCTACCGGTAACAGGTAACAGGGCCGATATTTTTTTCTTTTTTTTTTCTTTTTATATATTAAAATGACACCCACTATTTCGGGGTAGAATATATATTATTGAACATAATGAAATAAAGAGAGAAAGTACAACAAACCCCTGACATGTAGCGATGTCAAAAGTCTATCTATACAGTAAGCACTCTTCACGCAGATTTTTGATGTGTATTAGTATCAACATGTTACACAAATTAGGCTCTTAGCCTTTGTCTTAACATCACTGACGAATCTAGAAGGCCATTTTTTAATAACAACTGTTTAATGCAGGCTGGTCCAGTATGTTACTCTGGTGTATTTTATCCTAAATTTATATTTAAACGTGCAATTCACTTTTGTATTTTTTGTACAATTTTCAATCGTTCGTAGATATGGTGCCAGCAATGTCAGCCGCTGTACCTAATCGTGCTTACTTAGTTCCATCCAATTAAAACATTCGTTTTGACGTTTATACCACATTGAACCTTGTGAATGTTTCGCAGCAGAGTTACTGTAAAGAGTAGGTATACTATGTAACAGATGGGTTGTTGTTACAGGTGTAATGTTAAACAACACACTGTAATTGGTTTACTATTCAAGCAAAATAAATCTTTTGATCATATTTCGTTTTCTGAACTTAATTCTCTGTAAACGAGATGATACAAAGAAGACTTGTCCAAATACATCGAGGGGTGTTTTGATGTACAATGTTTGTAATGTGATGTTCCCTCGTTTGATTTGGTTCCCGGCCGATTGAACAATACGTCCATTATTTAACAGAAAGTTAAATCAATGTCTTAGTTTTGATTACACAGTTGTTTTATTGGGAAAAGAGAAGGAAATCAATTGTTAATTTTTTAGGTAGGTTTAAAGTAATACAACATTCTTTTTATATCATGAAGCAATGGTTCAAAAATATTTGTATGATGTCATAGATCAACAGTATGGAAACTGAATACTGACGCTGTAGTATTTTATACATATTACCTTACCGTAACATATCTATATATCCCATTAAAACTGTCGAGAAAGACACTGGCGGTCTGTTTTTGTTTGTTTTTGTTTTGTAACACTTATAAAGTCCCCTTGGACTATCAGGTGTGTAACAGTTTTCGCGAGATTACATAAAACCTTACGCAAGATCAATTAAACAGTACTGGGAAAGATACCCTTAACGTTATTGCCTAACCGGTGAAGAAAGCAATCATCTTTACGAATACTATTTAATAGTATATGCAGGAAAGCATTACCCTCTGGACTTTTCAGAAATTCTAAGAGGAACAATACCGTATAAATACAATGAGTATGACAGACGCTTGAAGCCAAACAGAGCTGAAGCCATCCAGTCAAGAGTTTACATGACAGTGCATATTGTGTTACATATGTACCCAATTTCATCATAAAAATAACAGATATATTCAAAGCCGATATAAAAGTTACAAAAATTATATAACAATAGCTGAATTCTGGGCCACATTAGCTAATCCCTTCATGATATTAGCTAAATCCTTTGAATTCTCGTTTATGTATATGCACAGATGCTCTTCTTTATTGGTCAAATGGAAACTGCGACCTTTGACCTTGTTAAGTACAAAATGACAGCTTAAATTTTTAAGCCTTGTTCTCAAAGAGCAAAGGACTTCTAGAAATTTTATTATCAAAATTATAATTGAAATACATGTGTAACAGAGGTCATTATATATTTACTTACAAATCTGACGCCTTTTATTTCTTAAAAAGCTGTCGTTCAACCGATCTAGCTGATCTAGTATTTACCAAGGTTACATACACCCCTCCAAGAAAGAACTCGTTTTCGAATTTCCAGATGTTATGGTGATGTCCTTGGGACAATGTTTAGTATTATTATTTTATTATTAGTATTATTCCCGAGTTCGTACATGGGCGCTTAATGCAACGGCGGTCATATCTCAGTCTCAATATCTTAATTAATTCACGCATACAGGTGAATTACAAAAAATGTATTGTCATATGTTCACATCTTTCAACGCTGAACATATCAATTATTTATGTGTTATGACATGTTTTATTGAAGACAGTCTAAGTAAAACTGAGCAGCGCTGCTTTGACATCCATGCATGAATTAATATTCCATCAGATCAAAGCGAAATAAAGAGAATTTTAATATGGTATGATACTAATACGTTGTTTTATAAATTTACGACAGCCGAGATAATCCCGATTCAAGAAAACATTTTAGACTATTAAAACTGCAATAACATTGTTTGCGCACACCGGATAAGACAAATAAATATACACGAAATGGGATTAGATGAGGGACTAGTGGATATAATAAACATTTGGATATCCAATTTCATGTTAGCATAATTGCCAAAATTTTTTGTTAGTACCGTTGATTGATTTCAGTTTTACAAGGAAAAAATAAATTTAGAATAAATTGCAGTATTGCAAAACCAGCACGCATAAAATAAAATACTCATGCGTGACAATGGAATGAATGGTTGAGTTAGCTTCATTCGTGAAATACAAAAGTTTGAATGCAATCGAAAGAAAGCTGAGGTGAGAACAGGATACTATCCCAAAATATGATGATAATATGTAGTTGGTTATTTACTGGAAAACAACTGCATCTGCCAAAGAGAAAAAAAAAACACTTACAGAAGTATGAAAAGAAATAGTTTACAAATCAATAATAGTCAAAATGAAGTTATAAGCGTATATTTAGTAACTAATTCCACCAGCATCTTTGTTATGTTGTCAGAGATTAGCAATTGAACAACTAAGATCGTTATCACGAAACGATTTTCAACAAAACAAAATATTCATTATCATTTAGCGAGCTGATTTATGTAGGCACTTCAGTTTTTCTCCTTTATTCTCAAAACTGCATGATCATAGGTATAATACTGTTAACCAGTAAAACCATCCTAATGAATCAATTATTTAGATAAAAAGTAATAATTTCTCTTTACCACACTTTCTCCTAGTGCCTGGAAACTTGCTCTTCTCTGCCCACCTTTGGGATCACCAAACCCAAATAAACTTCCACGGCTGTTCTTCCTTTCGAATTCCTGTCAGGAAAAGCAGGTCAGAACATCTCTTATACGTATGATAAAATGATAAGAAAATTCTATTAGATATATACGACCCATCCCAGACTTTTGTCACAGTGCAGAGCTTAATCCAACCTGTAGGTGCTGAGGGTGTATAGTGGTTAGTATAAAGTAATACAATAGCATATACCAGTAGGCTTATGAAAGTCCATATTGTACATTCATTTTAAAAGGTTTGATGAAAGGTCAGAGTAGAGCAAGAAAAAATCGCGACATATTATCAAACTAAAAAGAAATGTTACATGATATGGTTTTAGATATTGTTGTGTAAATATATAGTATCTATACAAGTTTTCCTATTATAAGCCTCAAAGGAAAATAGATATAAATAATGGAAATCTAAAGCATTCATCATAATATATTTCATCGTCTTTCTTTTTTTAACAGAAGAATGAAACTATCTAAAAAAAAAAATCAACTTTCAATAAACCGTATGCATTAAGAGTTTGATGCTCTTCATTTCCCGTAAAACAAGGGAAAAGAAAATCACATAAGATTGTTAACCAGACCTAACTAGACTTTATAAAAATGTGTAAAATGTCTTATAATAATTAATAAACTTGATAAATTCAAGAAAAAATTAAATAAAGTTATCTATATTACAAAAAATTAATTTCATGTAGATAAACGAATGTTCACGATATTTATTTGATAATACTTTATAATGCCACCTGAAGTACGCGGTTTGCCAGAGTTTGATCTGCAGATAAGACAGTGAGAAAAATAAATTTCAAGTGAAAAAGTGCAGTGCAGTGTGAGAAAATTCTAAAAGAGAGAAAGAAAAAAGGAAAGAAGCATTCAAATAAAGAGGAAATAAAAAGTAGCATTTGTCAAATTGTTACATGATTTTTTCTGATTTCATTTTTAATCAAAGCTAGATACAATTATATGTTACATACTTACTTTACGTCGTCTTTTCACATCATTTTGAACTATATTAAACAACATGGAAACGATGCTTCTTAAGCTTGCGGTGGCTCTATCAAGGTGTTGGTACATTGTATGATAAGGTTTATCGATGACAACGCTGGATTGCATGCATGGATACAATAAACCTAATTCTAAACAGTTTGAAACACTAATTTGAGTGCAAAGCAAAACCATCATGCATGCAATTATTGCTAAATTTGCTGATGCTGTTGAAAATTTATAATGAAATTGATGTTTCATAAACAAAACGATGCAGTACATGTTTTGAGTTCAGATTTATTAAAAACTGTTTACTTGCTTCATCCGGACTCGTATAGATTTAACGTTTTATGTAATGATTGGATTATTAAATGGTGTCATACATATTAGATAAAACATGCATGATGCGTAAACTAGGATGATACAGAGTGCAGAAAACACGTGCGCTAATATTTAGAGCAAAAGAATGCCTTGCAAGGAATGAGAATGTCGTTTTCATAGATACATCCGCTTTATCGTCCTTATGCATGATATATATATATTAAGGTAAGAAAAAATCTTAGCGTCTCGGTGATAGTGCTTTCCTCCATTTGATAGATATGTAATACAGCTAGCAATAAACGATTGACGATGTTCCCATGTGGAATAAGAGTAAATTAAAATGTCACGATGTCAACGTGAAGGAACAATAAGTAGGTAAATCTGACAAAAAGTGGGCTTTTGCAATAAATATTGAGGTAGTGGGCCATAATGTTTTTTGTTTTCGTTTTTTTTTTCTTTTTTAATTGTACATTAATTCTACTTTGGGTGGTAGACACTATTGATGGACGTTTAGTTCACAATGTTTGTTGCAACTGTAGCATCACTGACGAGTCCTAGAGTGACGTGACAGATGTGTGATGCAGTCCGATTCATAATGTGGCTCTACTCTATTACATTCTGAATTTGTTTGGAAAGGTGCTATTCACTTGTGCGTCTTTTTGTGCAATACTCCACAAGTTTGATAAAAGATAAACTTATAATGGATCTATGTTTAAGCACCTTTAATACAAAAAGGAGGTATTTTGATTGAAATTGTTTTTATATACAATAACGAGGAAGATTTATACTTTCTTCAATTTGAGACTTAAATCACATGTCTAAATGCAAAACTAATCTTAATTATTCTCTAACAGAGATGGTGTTGGTATATTTAATCCACGTTTGGCAGTCAATGTGCATAATCATGTATATATGGTAAAACCTACTAGAAGTAACTTATATAAGATAGTTATTTCAACAATTCAAAGTAAACACTTGACAACTTTTGTTATATAAGTTGTAAGGACTTTGATTTGCTCTCACGTACTCCCCAATATCCCCCCACCCGCCCCCCAATGTTCTTTTTGAAAAAAAAAAATCATATCATATATGAATATTCTATTAAATACTTGCATCGCATGTTGACTTGGTATCATCAACAACACATGCTTGATGCAGTGTAGGTGGTATGTGAATAACGGGTACTTTCGAAAATACAGTCGAACCCATTTTACCAGCAAAATGAGATGTTTGTATTTTTACCTGTGGATGTTACGTAATGATACAATATAGATGTCTGTTCTGTTGACCAGATATCTCAGAAACCGTGGTAAAACGGGGTTCGACCACTACTATGGTTATATAAGAGGTACACAACAGATCTATATTCTGGATAAATGCGGGAAAGGGTGATATATAGATATGTAAATATATATAAGTAAGATATACTTTAAGATATAAAACATCACATTGGTTATAGGAAATCTTACATGGAGGCAGGGAACCGTGGGAGAAACACTATTCATTCCAGGAAGTTTTCTGAAAATTTTGATATAAAGACGAAACACGTGAATAATGAACACTGCAAAGATGCCAGGGTAAAATATTTGCATGGTCAGGCAAGCGTGTCCAACTTACGGGCGTGATGAAAGGACCAGCACTTGTTCGGCGCTGTCGGGGGTCACTATAACCATAGGAATCGTCGTCAAAACCACCTATGGGGAATATTCCAAGACTATGTGTGCTCGTTTTGCGGGGTTTCTCACCACCCTCGCCGAACATACTAATCGGTAAAATGCCAACACTATGGGTGCTGGGACGGCGCGGTTTTTCAGTGGAGGATCTCCGGGAAGAGTCAGAAGACCCACGGCGATACTCTCCGAACCAACTTACAGGTAGGGTGAACTGGCCAAGACTCTGCGTGCTCGGACGTCTGGGGCGATCCGAGCAGGGACTTTCGTCCGAGATGAGGCTAATTCCAGGCGTTCCTCCAGCGGGCGGAATCAAACTGAACCGACGCTGGCTTTCTTTTTCTGGATTCAGGGATAGTTTGTCGTCCTGCAAGCAGTAAACAAATCGATAGAAGTATATATAGGCATGCTTATGAAGAACAAAAATAGCATGATTTCCATAAAGTAAACGTGTCTGAACATGTAGCAATGTCGGAGTAAATAGAATGACGTATTTAGTGAAACAATTCCAAATTTAAACTACATACGTCAATATGATACGTAAAGTGAAATGGCTTTACAGTAATTAACATGTTTTATGAATGATTTTTTTCATTAACATTCATAAGGTAATAACAACTTTGACTTTCCGGATATGTTATGACCTTACAGATGTTAAAAATAAAAAAAGATAATTCTTTATATTTAGATTATCATTTACTGAAATATACTGGTAAACCTAACCAATACACACACATTAAGCATTTACTTAGTTTGTATGTGTTAGTGACACCGCTTTTTTCGTAGCATAGTCATAGTAACTGTCATAAGAACAACACAAGCAATAAAGGTCTCTAAACATTGTATGAAAATTATGCGTTATTGCTTTTCTAATATGTCTAGACCCATTCACATATATATGCAAAATTAATTTCATTTTGTTTATTTTTAATTGTAGGAGGAAATTATCGATGATGGATGTTTCCATTTAACAGATAATTCGGTTTTAGTGTATTACAACAAAGTGCAGCTCCAGTGATCAGGTCATTGTGGTCAAGCAAAACTTTATTAATTTTCTCGTATGCTTTCGGTCATACCAAATAAAGATATTCTTTGCTCGACAGCTCTAAAGAACATCTCTGCATTGAATGGATGTTCTGAAGACGATTTATATCATGTATGTTAATTTGTTAAAAATAAATTTTAACATCGCTTACAATAAAAGACATGGCTCTTGTCATATTTGATTTATGAATCAAATGAAGTAATGATAATTTGTTTTAATCGACTTTTAACAGAAAGGAAAATCGCTCGTCATTCAGTAACATACTACACTTTCACGCCATCGATTTAAAATTGAATCCTATTAGGATCGTTGAATTGCCTTCTTCGATGAAACTTAGACGGATATCACTGACATTTCTAAGGCGAATTCATAACATCTGTATGAATTACGAAATACACAGTTTGGTCTGATATTCCACGAGCGGACAAGAGTGAAAACAGATGTATGTACAAGTAAGTATTTATATGACTGAATAAGAGGGTTTTTTTAACCGAAATATTTTATTAAAAAATATACACAGACACGCCAGTTCCCACACAAGGGGCACTCCTGCTTCGCACACCTAACATACATCATTCACTACAATTTCTTTAAATATATGACAAACCAACCTGCTTGTTTATGATATCAATATCAATTCCAGGGTCAATATTTACATTATATTATGGATATATTCAAGCATCATCAAAACAGCGAGCAATCTTTAAATTGAAATTGCAATGTACAAGAAAAATATTTATGAACAAGTTTTAAAAACTGATGATGCGAATGTTGTCAAAATATCAACTTCATTTTCAACTTCATATGAGTTATGCCCCCTTTCAACTAAATGTCAAGCTACATACGTAAACGGAACTACTAGATGGTACAGTAACTAAACAATGAAACATTGTGCAATGTCTCACACATCATAAGACGATAAAGCACACACCGCCACATCATTGCATTCAATTCAATGTCAGTCATGCCATGAATACTTTTATATGAACGTAACACTATCGATAAAATACACCAAACAAAACCAAATTTCAAACATTTATGTGATTTTTACCGTGTCAACTGTTCGTAGTAGCAAAATTAAAAAATAGCATTCTTATGTCAAATTTAATGTCCATCACACAAAAATCAAATACTTTGCCGAACTTACTTTCACATGCTGCAGATCGGGGCTGTTCGGGGCTGAAAAGTTGAAAAGAATATTTCAGAAAATGTGTATATATCCTTCTGAATGACTCATGAAGAAGCATGCTTGCAAAGGATCAGAATAGATTACAATGATACGTACATAAAATATTGTTGACTGTCAATGAGCAGTCTGCTATTGATTTGAAATAATGATTAGAGAGTCTCATACATTGCATTGCCTTCTGTAAGGTTACACTTAGCATTGGTTTTTGCCGTGGAACTCGCAAGAGATGATTATCTATCTGCACATACAAGGTTATGGTTATGTCGCTGTACACTTTAATACAAATGATTGTTTATAAGAGCTTTTGATGCCATGGTGATAAATATACTATAAAGTAAGACAAAATGTACAGACATGCTTTGTGTAACAAGTGTATAGTGTACATGCAAGCTCAGTGATAAATAAGTGCTGTTGCCGGAAAAAAAATCGCATTTTCCATAATTAAAAGTGTTTCAATATGGCATCAAAGTATTATACAGAGTGGTTCAAGATTTATCTACAAAATCCTTGCAACGCTATATCGACTATTCGTTTGTGTATAACCAAGTGTAGTTACAAGACGGCTCAAGTGTGCCATTGCGTGTGGGATAGAAGAAAATAGAAAGCTTAACGCCAACAAGTTCATGCAACAAATGTGAAGCTGAGTGGAGCTGACAGCGAGGTAGGTAATGGGTAGATATTATTCCAGGGACGATATACTGTTTACCTGCTGGCGTCAGGACTGCTATTTGTTCACGTGATCTGTCGTGACCAATCAGGGACAACTTGGACAGAGATTGTTCTACCGATGAAGAATGACAACATTTTGCAGGAGTATATATCCATGTTTTATGGTATAGTTCCCAAAAATTAGAAATCAGAAATTGTGTAAAATTGCTTGCCGATTTTACAAATATATAGTTCTAAAGACATTAAAAACAGTTCAACCTATCTGAGGATCAAAGGTTTGCAAGTAAGTGGTTAAACAGCATGGTATAGCTAAGCGAAATGGCAAAAAGGTCAATAGGAAACATGTAAGTATGATTATAGTATTTAGCATACAGTTGATAAATAACCAATATCACTTGTGGCATGCATCATGCAACGACTTTTTCTTGTATCTTCAAACATGTAGATATATAAAATGCAGTGATGTTTATCAGATGATCTGTATCTTTCATCTATTTACTTCCTTCTCTCATCACAGATTTACAATAAGAATGGATTATGGAAGGTAGGATAAAGGTGAAAATGGAACAGCAAGTACTAGATAGAGGTTCAGCGATGTACAACGTTAAACAGCAAATGCTGGTTAAAGGACGTGTTAGTAAATGACAAGAGATCCACGTTTTACCTGTGCGACTTTTTGACATGCCACTGTTTTCGACAGTCAAAAAGATTCGAGATGAAGAGGGTGTACCCGCTTTGTCATCCTTTGTCTTACCATCCACCAATGGCATGCATATGGATCCCCTTAAAAACACATTGGTTTTATTTAAGCATTTGCCATAAAAACTGGCAAGGTATACATGAATGATATTTTACAAGATACTTGGTCAAAATACGGTTACTTCATACCTGTTGTATGCCAGGTAACATTCACTAAAACAGATATCAACAATAGTATCCAAATCTAAATTTAAATAAATACATGAAAAGAGCAGGGTGTTAAGAAAGTCATATTATTTTTTAACGTGAAGTGGAACGTCATTAGGACTTCCATAATGTCACGATTAAGGAAAATATGTTAGGATCTTCCTGCTTGGTAATTATATTTTCTTCAAAAATGAATTTCATTAGATAAACGAACCCTAAAAGAATCATTACCTGTTTTCGTTGGTAAAGATAAAAATAAAATAAATTTATGCGACAGAGTTTTGTAAGAAACCGCTGTTTATGGCGTCTTACACTGATGAATTATATTGTTATATGTCGGAACTTTCTTGTCGAGTGATATTACGAACTGAATATCTTTTGATGTTAATAGAAGACATATCCAGGAGTGGTATCTTACATATTTAGAATTTGTTTGCTGAATTATGTAACAAGGATCATTGACAGATACAATTGCTTCTAAAACCAATCTACATTGTTAATAGTTTTTTTTAAATGTTTTTAACCTAACACTAAAGATCAGTGAACAACGTTTGAAAAAAAAGCGGACATTGTATTTCCGATTATTCTAGAGGCAAACCAGGATCTATTAATGATTACAGAATATCTGGAACTAATGAGGCGCACCTTTTTGGTAGCGGTACAGCTGATGTCTCCTCCTGCATCTTATTCCGTCGTTTTCTATCAATCTGCTCCAACATCTCTCTCAGAACCTCCATTAGTGCACTAAACTGCATTGTTAAGACAATTCGTCATGCCAAAATTGTTGCAATATATATATCAATTTTAGTCACTTGTTAACAACCAATTTTAATTTTCCATCAATGCTGCCCATATGGATTTAATCGATAAGCATTCGAACCATAACCATTAGTGCTAAAACATCCATTATGTACATTTGCTTCAAAGATATGATATAAATTATATTGTCCGTGAGATATCTGTTAAGAAAAACCATTATCATTATTAAGCAATGAAACATGTGATGCTTTACTCACCTTTTCCATACTTAAGCCAGGATTGACGGTGTGTGGAATGAGAGGAGGCATTACTTTCGTGGCTATCAGATTATGAGTGAGGCCAAATTTTTTGTCACTTAGCATGTGTTTATATATACCTGCAACAGCAACTATCGAGCTTAACACAATATGAACCATAATATCTTAAATAATCTGCATTTACAAGAACGTTGGAAAAGAGAGAGTTTGATATGCTTATTCTACTTTAACATATGGTGACGTTATCTGATGGCAGATAAACATAGGCCTTCATCAAGATGATGCTATCACATATAAGCTCAAGTTATTAGAATGCATTGTTCTCAAATAATTATTGCAGAAGAGATATGCAGTCGGATATTCATCTGTTAAAGGTTACAAATAAATAAGATAATAAATCAATTCTCCTTTTTTATAGTTAATAATCAAAAGGAAGAGCGGTTTTTAATTTATCTTTTTCATTTCTTCTTTGTGCACCCACATCAAAAATTTCAAAATCTTGTATTCGGAAAGGCAAGTTCATTAATTCTTAATACCTACATGAATTTAAATATCTGTTTATAAATATTACAGAAAAATTTGTGGAACATGATTTAAATTTTATTTTCAATATCAATAGATATAGATATTATAGATAATTATTGCTGTTTAGTAACAAATACAATTATACTTTAGCTTATAATACTAACCGACCACTGCCATAACAATGTCAGGGTCATGACCAGTGATATCAGTTAAAAAGGGCAAGACCTCGTCAAGAATGATCATCTTGTTTAGACTGTCTAGTAAGTAGTCAATACACGACAACGCATTCAGCCGCACCTGAAACAGTAATTCAATGCGAGATGCATAAATGACACGCCCACGTGTTATTGATAATTGATGTATTGTATAGCTTCTGTAAAGTATTTAAAGGAAGGTTACTGGAGAGTTTGGATGCCTCTGATATCTTCAGTGAGTAATAATTGTTTCGCCATCAAATTCGTGTAAGCCGTCGATCGTATCAAACAACATTTGATTTTGATCAGCGTTACAAACATATTATATTGGACCCTTAAATAATATTCATTTACATCTGGAGTTATCTTTTACTTTCCTGAACAAGAATGTTGCTGAAACATTTTGGAAGTTTTTATCTTAAAACTTACCCTCACATTGCTTCCCTTATGGTAAAGAGCTTTTGCCCGAGGTAGCACCATATTTCTCATCACACTATCATCCAAGTACTCTTTGATAATACCAATTGCATTTAAAGCTGCCTCCTTCAATAAAAAAATGAAAGAAATAAAAGTCATAGATAGATAAAACTTGAAATGTTAAAGTAATAAAGAGATCGTACAATAAAACATGTGACCATTATACATCATGGATATTTTTGTAATCAAATCATGAAGGAGACAGAAAATCTAAACTGTTTGTGTTATTTCTTCCTTTAATAGAGTTAAGAATAACTTTTTTGAATAGGGAGTTAGGTTGTCCTTTAATTTGATCACAGCGCATCACGATAATGGATAATAATGTGACCTAGTTTTACATAAACCACGTGCGACCTTCAGGACGAAGATCAAGTGGTACATACTCATAAAGACAGCCAATTTTATTTTTGGTATTGGGATGTGAGATATGTGACACTCTGGTTGCGTTGATTGTTTCTTCAACCTTGGTTGTCCCAGTAACCTTACTTCATGTCAAAGATGTTCAGCAGCGTTGTAAAGCATTCTCTGTACATTGAACAAACAAGTAATCCCAAGGATCATTGACATTGAAAAGCTTTCTTCTCATATCCAATTCAAAAGTTAGGATGTGAATCATTAGCTATCAATCACCACCCTCAGAATTAAATATAATACATCAAAAAGGTCATGAATCGTTAATCTAGAAAAAGAAAAAATATGATGTGACTGAATGCAAACACAATGTAATGTAGACGCTTTACCTGTGCCTGTAATGAGTTGGACTCCAAACTATTGAAGACGAAGGGTAGGACTTCTGACCGTATCTCATCTGCTGGACTTTTCATCAGCACCGTGTCCAGCTTATCAAGTATGTACACTGTCGCCTGCCATCAGAGAGCACACATTAATGTGTCATTAATAGCGTCTACCATAAAAAACACAAGCATCCATACTATGGCCTGCCATTAAAAACATTCGTCTACTTCTGCATTATTACATTAGAATGTAAACCGTCGCTTGCATAAGAGAAAAAAATCAATGTATACTGTAGTCTGCCATCAGAGAAAAATGATGTACACAGTCGCCTGCCATCAGAGGAAAATAAATTTACACTGTAGTATGCCATCACAGAAAAAATAATATACACATTCGCCTGCCATCAGTGAAAAAGTAATTTACACAGTCGCCTACCATCAGAGGAAAATAAATTCACACTGTAGTCTGCCATCACAGAAAAAATAATATACACAGTCGCCTGCCATCAGTGAAAAAGTAATTTACACAGTCGCCTGCCATCAGAGGAAAATAAATTCACACTGTAGTCTGCCATCACAGAAAAAATAATGTACACAGCCGCCTGCCATCAGAGAAAATAAATGTACACAGTCGCCTGCCATCAGTGAAAAAGTAATTTACACAGTCGCCTGCCATCAGAGAAAAAGTTACGTACACAGTCGTGTAACATCAGAAAACGATTGTTTACTTCTGTGTTGTTGCATTAAAACATGTATTGGCGCCTGTTACCAGAGTAAAGTAAATGAAGACCGCCGTCTGCAATCAGAGAACACTATTTTATCACAGTAGGTTATGCATTGTTGTCTGCCATTAGGGAATAATAAATTGTCATCGTCGCCTGCCATCAGAAACCAGTTTGTATTATTACAATAAAATGACCCGGTTAAACGTATTAGTCTGCGCTATTGATGGCTATTATAATTTTTCAGTTTTACAGTATTATGCAGATTCAAATGCCATTTCGGTGGACTAAGGAATAAGTTCCTACACACCCCACATACAATATATACCTGTACTGGCTTGGGCGAGTTCATGATCATTCGGAAAAAGGGCAGGATCTTCTCCACGTATTCTTCCCGCGTGGCAAAGTCGATAAGGGTTAGCAAGGGAGTTAATGCACTGGTGATTGTGTCGGCTATTGAGCATTCAAGGCAAAGGGCGGGGAAGACATGGCGATATAAAATTTTCTAAAAATAAACCACATAAGTAGTTTACATTGCTTACGTTGAATAACAATTTCAATATATTGTTTCATGTACAATGAAAGTCACATGTGTGATACTTTGGCTTAATTTTTATTTAATATTTTTATATTTTGATCCAGTATTTATGAGAATTTAATGGACTTCGAAAGAAGATTATAATATTAGTGTAGGATTCTACTTACTTTCGGTATACTGGGGATGACTTGTGCTATAAATGCGTATACTTCTGCTCTCTGGCAATATTCCAATATATCTATATTATCTAGCTGTTGTAAACTTCTAAGGATGGGATCGTTGAAATATTTTAACTGAAATTCATATCAAAATGTAAAGTTAATGTAGTCTAAAATATGAGTAAATACATATAGGTACGACTAATTGTAACTATATAACAAAACTTGTAGTACATATAAGTTAACACTTATTTTCAAATGTTGTATGAGCAGTGTATATTGCCCAATTGAATAATTAACTTTCATTTGTCATGCATCAAAAGACAGTATATATAAATATGTGTAACATACCAAACAAAAAAGCTGAGCTGTCGGGCGGTATCGGATATCTTTATTAATCATTTTTTCCACGGGCTCTACCAAGGGGAGGGGCATCCGGTGAGCAACGTCACTGAATTTCTCCGTGATCTGTCAATAGATAGCCATGCACAAAAATATTTCAAGCAATTTATTAAAATAGTTATGCTGATATGTCAGCAAAATTGCAATTCAAACACAAAATCATCAAAGAGATAAAAATGAGAAAAAAAATGTGTCTTGTGCTTGACGTCATCAAAATATGCCTTCAATCTTTCAATTGAACAATAAAAAAAATCATAAAACATGATTTCTAATATTGTGTGCGTCACGTAAAACTTTCGATTAATGAAAAATTATCAGCAGTGCCGAAGGCAAAAACGATAGTTTCAATAGAGTGTGATCAAAGCCCATTACACATGTAACAAGCGGCCTAGTGGCCTAGTGAGGCAGATAATGATGGTTAGTCGCTTCGGTGTTTTGAATCAAAACTTATAATTTTACATTCATCCAGCTAATCTGCGCTTCCAGCAATTAATTTTCCCGTACTCATTAGTATCAAGCTAATTGTTAAATAGTGTCTAATTATTTGGGCCCTTATCTTTTACTTCGCTTTCCCCGACAGTATTAATGTGTAAAACCCTGAGGCTGTCGAAATTCGCAACTCAGATACAAGTAAAATGGAGCCCATTTTTTCACCACAATACTGTAGGTGACTGTTCAACAAGCAAGATAGTAAAACAAATAGACAACACGTGGATTGAACCATTGACTAGTACCACGAACTTTGACCTGGAAGAGTGCGTCTTAAACACGCACAAAACTGAGCTTTCAATTGTTTATGAAGCAATTTAACTTTTATATGAACATCGATCAATTTATTGCATTCGAGATAATAAACCCTATTATAACTGGTAAAAATTGTGATAAATTTTCCCTTCATTAATCATTTTTAAACAAAATGCATTATTAATTAAGCACACGTCAATTTTAATGATATATAATTACCATAGACAAACTGTTATATCAAAATATCAATGCACTGTACAGCACGACTTTAAAAAAATTGCACATTCTTTGATCATAAAAAAATCACTCGAACACTAAAATGACAATGAATCTTTATAATTTCTTAAAACTTACCTTGATTTATCGATTAATAGATAAATAAATAAACAAAGAAATGAAATAGGAAATATTATTTATATAAATTATACCGGTTCACATGGCTCAGATATTGCAATGCAACTAAATTCCATGTTTGATTGGGATTGCACGTGTACTTAATTTCATAAATCAGCTTAACGCAATGCTATAAACACCAGCTTCTCAGTTCAACATCCTTAATTTTCAGAGTTGCTGAATCGTGTAACCCGGAAGATCTTTTGTACACGATAGATGTGTTAAGGGATCCATTATGAGATTTAGTTATATAACGAGCTTATAATTTTTAACCAACGGATCTAAACATAGAGCTTTAAAGTGAAGTAATGACGGAAAATCAGAATATAATACCATAATCTTGCTTTCGTGACATATTGTTGCAGACGAGACAACAAATCTTCGGGTTATGTAATTTTCTGCGATTCATATATTCTAACCCTAGCTTATAAAAAGGTGCCATTCACTTGTGTGTCAATTGTACAATCTTTAAGATAGCAGGCTGTAGACACTGCTGGTGGACTTTAAGTCATCGAGCTTTGGAGTAACCTGCATGCCACGTTTTAATTCATTCGATTAGTGACACGGTTCTGAGTATACAAATGTACTTGACGCCGTTCTAAAATTGCCGGATATATCAAAATTATAGATTTTATTAAATCATGGGGCTGCTAGCTACACATTCCTGTTTTGGTTTTGACATTTCAGTCGACCACTCTGGAGTTGCCGCAGTCACCTTCAAATTTAGGCCGTAACATCACCGACGAGTGCTAAAAGGACAAAACAGCCGTATGATGAAGTTTAAGTAATTTTGTGATTCAACTGTATCTAACTCGAAATTATCAAAAGGTGCTATTCACTTCCGTGTCTTTTGTACAATCTTCCCGTTTTCATTAAAAAAATTTACCTTGCCCCATTGTTTCTACGAGTGCTCATTTTTAGTTTTGAAATATCCACTTTTTTCGGCATTTGTGCAAAATACTAGTACCATTTTGCATGTTTTCAGTATATCAATGCATATATACTATGACTATGTGCCAAACATATGTCATACAAAGGTGGGTTCCAGCTCATGATAAATTTTCCATAAAAAACACATTCACCGAGATTTGTTTTAAAAAGTTGCATGTCTGCGATCGGTTGGTAGATTGGTAGGTTGATTGGCAAGTTTTTCATCTCCGCGTCTTCTCCCGTGGCCGTGTTTGTGATATTACAAATGGCAATACAAAAGACATACCGTTCTTGAATTTTCATTGTGTAGATAAAAAAATGCCCTGAAATCTACGAGATAAGTGAACTGACCATGTGTCAAAGTATGCATCAATAGCATAGTGGATTTCTGACATTCTAAAACACCAGACTATACTCCAAAATGTAGAAACTTTACATTAATTTGCTTGCCATTTTGATTTTCTTAAAAAATAAGCTTCAATATGAGTTTTATCACAAGGTAAAATTCGGAAAGAATTGTGTTCCAGGAAAAGTCATTTTCGAGCTACTTACACCAATGGTGCAAATTTCTAGAAAAGGGGGTAATGCAGAGCATAGTAACAAAATAATTTCATCATAACAAGCTTTATATAAAACGTTTATCTTAATTTTGGAAAACATCTCAATTCTGTGATGCAGAAATAGCCTGAACAATGTATTTGATCACATATTCATCACATTTTTATCTGTATTTGAATAATACTACATAGATATTATAAAACAATATTTGATTACAAAGATTATTCCCAGAGAGCATGAAAAAATGGAGACGTCGAACCAACAAATTCTGCACCACAATGCATTTCACTCCAGAAAAGTCAACGCCTATTTACTTAAATATCTAAATGAGTCGGTTATCAATGTTTGTTTAATAGGGACTAAACTGATAACTAATTTTTGTATTTATTAAACAATATTTAAACATATTACTGCATTACATATATGAGTGAAGTCTAGTATCATTCCTTATTGTGCCTGCACGCGTATTATTAAGATAATATCTAAAAGGGCGCCCTTGCCAATATCTAAACCGTATACTTAATATGTATAATGAAGCCGGTACTTAATCATTCAACACATGGATATTGCAATAAGGTATAGCTGAAAACAAAAAGTCCTTTCGTGTAGTTGTAAATATAATTCAGATGCAGAACTATTATTTATAACGGAAATATGGTTTGTGTTTAATCAGAGTGAACATTTCGTTTAAGGATGCTTCCGGTTAAAACAGATCTTCCGAAAAATTGTAATCATATATGGCTTTGTACACTTCTGATAGAAGAAGGTTTAGCCAAACAAATGGTTGAGAATGTAGTCATTTGTTACAAATGCTTTAAACGTTATGAGAGATAGCCAAGACCAGTCGGTGTCAGAGAGGTCTCAACCTGTTCGAATCCTCCAGATGTACTGGAATCAGATTAACCATTTACAAACGAATTCTCAATTCCATCTGTAGATAGTTTGTTTTGTGGTAAAAGCTCCCACAGGCGATGAACAATTTGTTTATAGTATGTGTCCTGCTATCTACCTTCCTCGCTCTGCACGTTTGACTCTCTTACTGAAATTCAAACCGTGGTATCCTGCTGATTCCAATGTATTCTCAAATCATCTCATTTTCAGTGACTCCATCAAAGGAGTACTTCTGTGACACAGCAGATGCTATCATAAATAATCCGCTGGAGGTGTCAAGCACTGAAAGTGTCGGAATGGACAGGCCAAGGCTAGACTTTGTGCCAGTTGCAATACGTTTGCCTCAGGGTGGAAGGGAATACAAACGTAACAAATTGATTCTCAAAATACATTTTGTAGGTCTTCCATTACGCTGTTAGAGGACTGTGTTTCTCAGTGACACACTATATAGATGCTGGTGCGAGCGTATTACACAGTTTCTTTTCAGAGTCATCCAACCCAGGCAGGTTAAAAGATAGAGACCACACAACTAGTAAACCATACATTAATAAACCAGACAGGTTAATGGAAAGCAACCAGACAACTAGTAAACCATACATTAATAAACCAGACAGGTTAATGTATAGAGACCAAGCAACTAGTTAACCATACATAGATAAACCAGACAGGTTAATGGAAAGCAACCAGACAACTAGTTAACCACACACAAATAAACCAGACAGGTTAATGTATAGAGATCACGCAACTAGTTAACAATACATAAATAAACCAGACAGGTTAATGGATAGAGACCGGACAACTAGTTAACCACACATAAATAAACCAGACAGGTTAATGGATAGAGACCAGACAACTAGTTAACTACACATAAATAAACCAGACAGGTTAATGTATAGAGACCAGACAACTAGTTAACCACACACAAATATCGGCAATTTGGCTTTTCTACTTACCTATGAAATATTACATAATCATTTACGTTGATGAAGAACTTTACCATTTGTATACGAATACTTCTAACACTTTGGCCTATTACCCAATATGACCTTTTCCATATCATGTATAACGTTAATAAATACTTCTACCTGTTATAACATGTATATTATATCTTATTCATATCATTATTTTCAAGCTATCGTCAATTCTTAAAGTCTATTCCTTATTAAAATGACGTTGGTAATGTCACTTTTTTTCGTAACGCTAGAAAAGTCTTTGATTTTTTAAAAAATGAAATTACCTGTGTGTACCGAAGATACATGTACCCAGTTTTTGAAATATGTTTAAATGGCGAACAAAAATTAGGACATAATGATTTGATAGATTAGATGTGTAGTGTAAAAAATGTGAATTACAGACCTGCGGACCTTCTGCCTTTCTCTAAAGGGACAAATGACAAATTCAGGGATACGTAGTCTACTCTAAAATACTGATAAGTTTTAAAGAAATCAGACGATAGTTTTTTTTAACCCCTTAATTATGTCTATTTCATTCATTTGACTATTGTTGGATTTATTTCCATGCTAAGAGATTTTGATGAATCCTTTCTCGTCCAATAAGGTTAGCACTAATGAAATAATTTTTTTGAGAAATAAATAATAAATCAGTACAATTTAAAGCTATTTGATAAAAGACTGTGATAACAAGCACACGAAATCGTGTACGGTTGATTAGATACGTCGTTTGAGTGAGTGCATGAGGGAGGAAAATGTTGTCAAGGATATATGATTTTTAAAAAAACGACGACTTTGGTTTTGGGAACAAGATAACAGTTGGGTCAACATCAGATTAGATGTCTGTCCATCTGATTAGGGTTAATCACTACGAGAAGGAAAATGCCCACGGATTCTAGGGAACAAATCGACGAGAAACTGACTTGAACCCGTGAAATATTAACTGGACCTAGCCAACAGGTCCACCAGGACAGCTTAGATGTCTGGAGGACAGGCAGACGATGTGGTGGCTATTATTGCTTTTCTCTGTAGTGTGGCACAAGCCACTTCTTCAATTTCCATAGAGAAGCAATTAATGTACCATAACGTATGGTTAAGCTTAAATGAAAATTAGACCCAGCCTATCGATTGGTCCAACAACAGAGTTTCCAAGGCGATAATGGCCTTCCGCTTGAGGATTTGAAATTGAGACAGTTCTTTATACCTGACCTGTTGTTTTATCGCCAGTAAAACACCCCCATTTCGATGGAAACTGCTGATAGATAAATATCCTGTAGCCATATAGCAATCCAGCCCCGTAAACAAATGACTTTTGTGGTCATAAAGCTTGTCATAACAATGTAGTATATTACAATTATTAAAACTGTACAGTTCAATCAAGATAAAGAGCAAGTGTTCTCTCGGTTGCATTATTTTAATGTCGATTAACTAAATTGAAAATCAGCTACTTAATATTTTGTTTAATATCAGATATCACGTGAGTGGCCATGTCATAATGCTTTTATTGAATATATTCAGAAGTTTGATATCTTTAGTCATGTAGGATTCTATTTACCACTTCATACATACGCTTTAGGAAATGGACACACATCTTTAACTGCCGACGCATTCATATGACATAATCTTTTTATGACGTAATATTTGGTTCTTTCACGTTAAAATGAAGACATTTATGAAATGGGCAGAATTGGTCAGTCATGTCATTAAGTATACATAATCAGCTAATTGATGATACCTACCTGGCCTACTCCAGTTTTGGTGATACCTACCTGATCTAACTGTTTTTGATAGGTAGTTGTGTTATGCTCCGCCTCAATGAGTGGTGTACCGTTATTGAATATAGTGCATATGACCATTCCAAGAGCAAACATATCACTTAAAAAGTAGCAATATTTAGAGTTTTGGGTCTCGGGGGCTATGTAGTTCAAATCAGGCTGAGCCATTTTAGGCACTTTAGTACTCCAGGGATGACAAATCACAGAATCCTGCAAAGATACAAAAATGTATATAAGAACAAGAGAATACCGTCATGTCATTGAACTCTAATTAAAAATTGGTCAAACAGGATCAAAATTGTTTTACCAATCCCTCTTCTAATTCATTGACGATAGTCATTACATAAAGAAATCCCGTTAATGTAACGTTCTCAATATGTGAATTGGGTCTATCACTACGAACCCATAAGGTAACAATGTAGCCAACTAGAACGAGTCATTCAACGAAACAGAATAACTTTTAATATATAAATGTCAAAGCTGCTTACAAGGAGCATTACAAAATTGTAAGCCTTAGATTTACTGTTGTCAAAGTCTCTACTAACATTTCTACTAAATCTACCATCCCAATGCCACCCTCCAACTATATATACATATATTTTATCATTCGCCAATATCAGTCCAATCCCCCGTTAACTCCTATCTCATGATCGGCAAATACCATACATCCGCTTCAGCTGATGGTTGATATATACTCACCTCTATTATCATTAACGTGATCCTAACAAGGAGTATTTCCATTACGACTAATAACAATGGTCAGAACATTCCATACTTTTTTGCTTTTAATTTACTCATATTTTATAGATAGGAAACGTTCGGGATGAAAAATATACACACCTCCTACACTTGATATAAGATATTTTAATGTGAGGAAAACTGTAAACACCTCCTACACACATTATTGAGAAGTACAATATAAAAATACCCTCATAAATTTAGTATACGTAACATTGTTGACATGCGGAAATGGTCATACAAGCTATTAACGATCAAAGTGATTTTATTAAAGTGGATCGTTTGCAAAAAAAGTTAAGACCACAAACTAAAGCCGGATGTAGATGTAGAGCTCCAATCAGGAACTGCTCACAGCACAACATACTCTAAATATTTAAAGCTATATTGATTGACGATCTATTGGAAAACGGTATCTTTCTTAAAGAGGTTCGTTCGAATTTTTTTTTTTTTTTTTTACTTATTTTTTTTTTTTTTTTTTTTTTTTTGTTTATCTTTTTGTTGTTTTCCGCGACCACTTTCGATTCTCCTCAGTTGCCATCTTAGTTTCAGCAATTTTAAAACCCTGCATCACCGACGACTTCGAGAAGTACGAAGCAGCTGTATAACGGCGTTTAATTCATTATCGTTATTGTATTTCTGTGTCTCATTATTCTTAATTCATTCTTAACTTGTGTGTCGTTTTACACAATCTTTAAATATTTATAGGCCATATGCCTGTGCACTATACAGTTGTAAAGGATTTACAAAACTACACGAAAGATATCAAATCTATCCCCCATATTGATGATAAAACGATACAAAACAAGATTCAAACAGTACTGGCATATCTCATGGGTAATATTGTACACCAAACCTATTGTCAACTTGGATAATCAAATCGTGATTCTTGTAGACTTGGATACTAATTTTATGGTGATTTATGATACAAGCAATGCCCTTGTCCAGAAACGAGAATGTGCTCATTGATGAAGAAAAAATTTTTTTTCTGACGCCAGACAGTCTGGACAGTTTGCATACCGCAGTTTGTCAATGTCTGGATTCAAGTTTACATCTTAACTTTGAATACGCAAACGCTCTTTGCAATATCAAAGGGTCCAAGAGGGCAATTATACTCCCAAATAAATGTTTTCTATAGCCTAAGTGTGGAGAATGAATATAAAAAACCAGGATCGAATTCGTTCGAAGAATACTTAATTTGCTTCTAACAACCTTTCACTTCCACTCCGATCAAATTATCAAAATTTTGATACTTTAGACCTTCATTGCGGAAGCATCTCTAAGGACACCGTTTAATTGGTTGTTGAATGATGGTCATTCCTCTATAGCAGAACCACTTTATTATGAAAGAAAATGCAAATATCTTCTCTTTGCTCCTCTATTTTACACCGGATATAGTTACTTTATGCATATAATTACTATAACGATTTACACACAGATTTATCACAGTCATCGTGATTCAGTCTTCATTAAAAATCATCATTATTTGAACAGTTATGCAATGAGCAAATAATAACTCAGCTCTCTTTATTCGTTTGGAACTTTCACTTTGGAGAAAATAAGAAATAACAATAGCATACCCTAAACTATTTTTAAATATCGACTTTAAGGTTAGGCCTACCTTTCCATCTCGTACAGTCTCCGCGAAGCACAAGGCCGATAATTTCCACGTGCCTCTCTTCGTGATGAGGATTGACTGCGGGCAGACATTTTTGTGAACCATCTGTTCAACAGCATGTAGGTAACATAAGGCCTCTGTGATCTACAACACAAATTAAAGTTGAAATTTTATTCTATAGGTTCTCGAAATATGAATATTTTACTATCGAATGAAAAATTATTTCAATTCACAACGGACATGTGTTGAGTTTTAATGATAAAAGGTATTGTTCCTAGATTTTTTAAACATGGTCTAACACATGTCTTTATTCATTAATATCCAGCCGATGAGATGGTATATTTTTATTCTTAATATTATTCACGAACGTTCTGTCTTAAATGGTAAACAACACGACGTTGTATTTTAGTCGGAGGACTAATGAATGTGAATCGCTTGGTACAACTGGCTGATGAAGATCACGCAACGAGAGAACTGCGTTGTCGTGTGGACCGCGGTCGTGTGGTTTATAATCAAACACCCACTATTCAGCGCCCTACAACACACCAAGGTCAATGTGTGAAATAGTTCGTCCATGTACTAAATTTCAATTAGATCACAGCTCTAATGAATGTTTATTCCCTATGATACGCCACCGAGAGAGCGCTTATTGCGGAACTGTCAACCATTTTGAATTATAACATCAATCCTGGTCATGTATGGATTTAATCAACGCGGACTACTGCCAGCTTTATTACCCGACTACATCATACCTAAATCTCCCTTTTGTTTAGCAAATCGAACAAAACGAATTGCTCGTTCCGAGATATTTTTATTAACATTTAAAGGTTTAATAAAAATAATAGCATATTATTTAACCGAAATGGCGAGTGTATTATAACGATAACCTAATAAACATGGACTATTTTCTATGTAACACAACACCTGTTGATACTGATCTCGTTATGTAACACGAAACATTTGTAATCAACAAAGTAGGCTCCATCACGATGTTTACCAGAGATTGAGGTTCCGTCCTGATAAATATGACAGTAGTGACTTTCGCCATCGGGAAGGTGATACATATATAAATAAATATATCTGGTACATCGACAACCTGTTAGTTATTAGGTCTAGTGGAAATCAAAACAGATTAAGACAGCAAGTGCGGTTACATTATGAACAGATAACATTGGTCCGTAACAGTTTGCTATCTCGTCTAGACGAAAGAAGATGGCTGTAGCGGTTCGATGAAGATGAATATGGAGATGAGATGGACAGCACGACAACGGGTTGTGTCGTATGTATGACTAGTTTGTCTTATATTCCAGCTGGGATCACAATGCATCATTAATAGGCAGACATTTCCATGCCATATACCAATATTTCCTGTTTCGATGGTATCACACGACAATATTAATCCGTCCATCTAGAAATCACTGAAAGTGCAGTTGCCACCGTTATCTACATGTGTGGCAGGACCCGTGACGTGTTATTATTGGTGAAAAAGTAATGTATTCAGTAACCTGATTTTAAAAGTGTAAAAAAAAAAAAAAAAAACAAACGAACAAAAACAGACCATCCCCCCTAAAAAACAAAAACAAAAAGAAAAATAAACAAAAAACAAAAGGGGAAAAAAAATGAATGCAATTAGTGTGATAGATATCATGTTATCAAATCTGTCACTTATTTTTCGATGCCTTCTATTAACATGGGATGGTTTACCAGCCGAGCTTATCGTCCAGGCAAGGGGTTAATCTTACCTGTAGTATACCGTACTGTATTTCATAGTCCAGGAATTCATGGTCCTGGAAATAAAAAGACATCACATTTATAATCTTACCGCATTCCACAGTTAACAGATCAGCAATATTACAATTGGAAGATCCCAACCATAGGAATGTTTCTTTGCCCAAGTTTATTACCTATACAAAGAATAGCGTAACCAAATATTGTAGAGCGGCAATGAATGAAAATCACACAAGGAAAGTGTTTTACAGTTAACCTGTTCATGGTTCAGTACTCTGCTTTGACTCAAAGGTAAAGATGACTACAACAACGTCTGACTGGGTTGATCGGCTTTAATCAAGGAAGTTGACTAGTTTCGACACATAGGCGTGTCATCAGAATCTGAACCAGAAACAGTCAACATCCCTGATTAAAGCCGATCAACCAAGCCAGACGTTGCCATGGTCATCTTTACCTATCTGTAATTCTATTTAACAGCCGGACTCTTGTATTCTCTGTAGAACCTGTCAGCTTGGCGTCACAGAACTTAACTGCACACGTTACGTAGACGTTGGATCTACCATTCCTCGTATATTTGACTATACAAGACAACAATTTAATAGTTTACCCTAATTCTTTGCTGTCGACGTTTGCAACCCATACGAGTTGTATGCAACATATTCATACTACACTAGAAAATGCCATTAATATGTCGATCATTGAACTATTTTTTCTTGGTAGTATATCGGTTGTCAAGTTCCATCAATTTTTGATAAAGTTTGTGAACGACAGACTAGATTAGAAACACCGTCACATCCTGCAGCAACTTTGGTTGACCAGGAATTACGTCTGTTATCAACACTGTCATCGCCTTGCTGTAAACGATTAATTTGTATGAAGAGACGCTGTTCACTTTTGTGTCTGTTGTACAACCTTCACAAGAATCCATATAAGCAACGTTTTATTTGCTGGCTGATCGAATTGCCCAGCAACACCTTTATCAAAGCTTTTTACTACCATACTCAGTACCAACAAACATAATTATAGTCATATTGTGATATTGCTTACACGAAAAGCGGAATTAATGGAATGTTGATTTTAAAGAACCCCAAAGAGTTTTAACCAAACTTAAACACACTCTTCTAGAAAACATTTGATTTTTTTCACTCCGTGCGCTACCATAATCCATTTTACACTTCGTTCTCGAGCTATGAGATTTTTCTTTTCAAAGAAAAGGTGAACAACGGTATAACTGTTGTGAATTACACCCGAAAAAAAAAAAGAAAAAAAAGTATATGAAAGAACAGATTGTAACGATAATCTAATTTCTTATTGATAATATCTTCGTCGTGTTGAAATCTTCAAACAGAACTAGTACGAGACACAATTTATCAAACACTTTATCGAAACTGGCCACAATAACCTTGTGAAGTCCTTCAATTCCTTCCTGTGGTCACCATAAATACTCACCCTAACTGGAAATAAATGACGTGACTAATTGTATCTATATCAGCCGCTTAAATGGCTCTTTTTTGTACAACGACAGCTTTTACCAAGCGGGATGGTTTCAATTATAAATTTTGCATTTCTGGAGAACAACATCCTTGACTTGGTTCGAAATGCAAGCGCTTGTTCTCAGTGTCGCAATGCCCGTGCAAACTCTCGCGATAGGGTTTCCAGAGTTGCAAGATTAATAAAAAGACGGCAGGAACGTTTAACGATCGCTTTCTGCTTTATCGGTTATCTATATCAGCAGTGCTGTACGTCGACTAGTCTGTATCAGCAATGCTGTTAACGATTAGCTTGTATCAGAACTGCTGTACGCCGATTATCTGTATCAGCAATGCTGTTAAATGAGTTGTGCTGTACGCCGAAAAGTCATTATCGTGAATACTAGTCACCGATTAGTCTGTATCAGAAATGTTAAGCGCCGATTTGTCTGCATTAACAACGCTGTCTGCATCAGCACTGCTCTCTGTATCAGCAATGCTACGCGCCGATTTGCCTGCATCAGCAATGCTATACGACGAATTGTCTGTATAAGCAACGCTGTCTGTATCAGCAATGCTGTCTGTATCAGCAACGCTGTCTGCATCAGCAATGCTTTCTGTATCAGCAATGCTACTCGCCGATTTGTCAGCATCAGCAATGCTGTCCTTATCAGCAATGCTATACGCCAATTTGTCTGTATAAACAGTGGTGTCTGCATCAGCAATGCTACACACCGATTAGTCAATTATAGCCTGTTCAAGAAAGTATTTTACCACTAATCAATCGAAGAGAAAGGCGATCGACTCACGTCTGACTTGTCTACCCATTTGTCGCTGTCCTTATCCGGTTTGTACGCTCCGCTTGACATCAAAAACAAACGCGATGTCGTTCTGACAGACCTCTAAGTGTGTTTAGACAGAAATCAATACAGGTTAAACAACTTCAGCACGTATTGACAGTGATTTTTTCATTTCAAAATCAATACCGAAATATTCTCGTTGTGGAACAATCAAATAGAAAATTTTCGAATGACTCGAAATCTCCAAGGCTTTCATGTGTTTATTCAATCTAGTTCCAAGCAACACAGACATGACCTGGACCTTTGGCGCACATAGCATGACTACGTGCTGGCAATAAATACATGGTTTCTGTAAATATATTCTACACGACACGCCATTCGTAGGTATAGTATTAGCCTAGCCGGATGACCATTTAGCACTGAGCAGTCTATAACAGAACTATCATTTCAAAAGAAACACGCTGAATATCGAAGTAACCAGATATACACAGAAGATCAAAGTAACCTGATATTCGAATTTTTCTGTTCACGTCGACAGGTATCGTTTTATATTCAACTTTTGATAACAAAATTCTAAAGATATATTATCTTCTTTTCGAACTTTGAAATAAAGCACAACACATCTGTGTCGGTTTGAAATCAATCTGTCTATAATCATGAGAGACCAGTATGTATCTACATTGTAGAGAGGCCAGAGTAAAGAGTAAAAAGAGAGGTCAGTCTGTTTTTAAAGAAAGGGGAGATCAGTCTGTATCTGAAGTAAAGGGAGATAATTCTGTGTCCACTGTAAGGGGAGCTCATTCTGTATCTGAAGCAAGGGGAGATCATTCTGTATCTGAAGTAAGGGGAGATCATACTGTATATAAAATAAGGGGAGATCAGTCTGTATCGATAGTAAAGGGAGGTCAGTCTGTATCGATAGTAAAGGGAGGTCAGTCTGTATCGATAGTAAAGGGAGATCAGTCTGTGTCGGTAGTAAAGGGAGATCAGTCTGTATCGATAGTAAAAGAAGGTTAGTCTGTATCGGTAGTAAAGGGAGATCAGTCTGTATCGATAGTAAGGGGAGATAAGTCTGTATCGGTAGTAAGGGGAGATAAGGCTGTATCGATAGTAAAGGGAGGTCAGTCTGTATCGATAGTAAAGGGAGATCAGTCTGTATCGATAGTAAAGGGAGGTCAGTCTGTATCTGTAGTAAAGGGAGGTCAGTCTGTATCGGTAGTAAAGGGAGATCAATATGTATCTAAAGTAAGAGGAGATCAGTCTGTATATACAGTTAGGTGATATCAGTCTGTACCTAGGTAAATGGAGATCAATCTGTATCTACACTAAAGAATGCATCTATAGTAAGGGGAGATCATTCTGTATCTGAAGTAAAGTGAGATCAGTCTGTATTAATAGTAAAGGGAGGCCAGTCTGTATCGGTAGCAAAGGGAGATCAGTCTGTATCGATAGTAAGGGGAGATCACTCTGTATCGATAGTAAGGGGAGATCAGTCTGTATCGGTAGTAAGGGGAGATCAGTCTGTATCGGTAGTAAGGGGAGACCAGTCTGTATCGATAGTAAGGGGAGATCAGTATATATCGATAGTAAAGGGAGATCACTCTGTATCGATAGTAAGGGGAGATCAGTATGTATCGGTAGTAAAGGGAGATCAGGATAAGATGGGATACTCGGTCTAAAATCCTTAAATAAAATATGTGTAAATTTCCTATTTGATTTCATGGCGATACACAAAATACGTAAAGCAACACTTCCACATCTGTTTTGTACTTTACGATTCCTTATATCTATGACGCTCCCGTGGGAGTTGAAAGCCCTTCGAGCAAATATCAAGCACAATGTGATAGCCAACAAGTCATAATCATCAAACAGGGACTATCTCTCTGAAAGTGTTAGAGATTACCATTAACAAAGTACAACTTTTTCAGGATTAACTTCATACTGAGGGAGGTGCTATTATATTTCCGATCGAAATTAGCGTTTTATTTCGATGAACATACGTTGGGTATAAAGTAGATAGTTCTTTACCTTTAAAACTAATACCAAAAGGACATTGGAGACTTGACACAAACACTTACATTTTAGTTTAACCACCCACTGAATTGTAATGGGATCACACGTGTAACATCTGACGTTGAAGAAGCGTCTTTAATATCCTCAGATTTCATCTGCCAACGCTTTGGCCTCGAATAGTATCGTGACACAAATCATTAAAAAATATGGCAACAGTCTTTAAACAGCATTGGTAAGAATACAGATCAGATCTACGTCAGAATTATTGATACTTGGCTGATTGGTTGCCTTATACATGTATGCCTAGAATTTTTATTTTGAAATCAAAGTTTTATCTATCACGTACATGATTCAGGAAGTGACCTATATTTATTTTACATATATAATCCCCAATATATAATATGCATCTATCATGATGTGAATTCGTCTTGTCTTTCATATATCGAATTTAAATCTAATATATATATATATATATATATATATATATATATATATATATATTGAAGAAAAAAAATGGGAGAGAAAATAAAAGATAATGAACATTGGAATTATCCGATTTTGTAACGTTCTATAATGTGTTAATTGGTCACGAATCAAACACGTACTACAAGCCTCTAGTGAGATCAGGGTCTCTGTGTGAGGTGAAGACGTGATATCAGTGTGACCATCGTTTTATGTTTTTATCATTCTTCTTATCCATACAAGTGACCTTTTATAAAGGTTTTACTATGAATGTCAAAGATTCAACACTGGCACAGATGTAATAAAAAAAATCCTGTTGTCTGAAAGATACAATTAAGGGTTATGCCACTAGTGAGGGACGAACATTGTAAGACTGCCTTGGAAGGTATTGTAAAGTATCATCAACCTTAACCGCTGTTAGTCCGTATAATCTTTGGTATAGACTCTAGGATACCTAAAACTGATTACAAGAAGACTCAAAATACGTTTTCTTGTATGGGTTCGGTTCTGACCTTCAGCAGTCACAGTAAGGTACAGAGAACATTAATGTATATTTGGTGACCGCTTGACCATGGAATCTAACGCCCTCGACAGAAAAATCGATCTGATATTTGTGTAATACATGTCATTTACGTGTGATCTGGTTACGCGCGTACAGCATTGAGACTATTACATATTACGTCAGACAGCACGAATTTTAAAGATGGGAAAATATGCAATAATTCAAAGTATCTTGCTACAAATTCGTGACGCATATTTGCAAGGCCGACACTTGCTTATTACGTGGATAACCTCAAGTTTAAAAAAATGTTTATGGTGCAAAAAGGAGCCTACCCTTATTTCCGGTGGAGCAGGCGTCGGTATCCTGTCGTAGCGACCGAGGACATTGGCAAGACTGGCAAACAATGGCTCCGTGGCAAAGGCAAGGCTGTTACTGAAACACACAAACATCAATGATTTTATAGTATATTCTAATTATATATTTAAACTCGTGTATTGAAATGTGAGTATTTAAATTGGTGTCCATTTTAATGGAAATTTTTATGACCGGGAGTGTATGTGAGTCTTTGAACACTTATTTTGACTCGGTAATAAGGATTTAACATGTAACAGAATTAGTAAAGATCTAATCGTAAAGGATCGTGACGATTTTCAAAGTTAACATTGCTTTACGAGTTTTATTTGTTGGTCTATTCTTAACACCATATCAGCGTCGTTAATATTATTGTTATAACAACAGGTATACCTCATTAATTCATCGACAAGGAACGCTAAGTGGTATTTATATTCTTACTGGACCAGCACTACGTCATCAATGGTTATATTTAGCTGTGTGTATATTGTTATCTGTAGAATAATTTCCTGAATTGCCACACATAATGATAAACATATCTATATTGATACAAAGCATGGGCCTAAACGATAAAATGTTTTATTTCTATACTAAAGATACACACAATAATCACTTTGTATACTAATAAATGAGACTCGATGCCCAGGCTTATTATGTTTGGTATAACCTTATCTCTCATATGACATTTTCGTTTTCTTTCTCGAAAACAGACCATAATGTTATCGTTCGTATGAAAAGGGTGACGTCAAAAACATTAACACAGAGATGGCAAACCCAGCAAAAACGGCTATTCCATCTGACGGAACACGCTGACGGTGATAAAATATCAAATGAAAAAAAAACAGTGTTGAAATATATAATGACGGAAGCATGTACAGTAAACGTAAACATGACTATTGGATTTTCATTAAACGATGTTTATTGTCAGTATGAATGACACCAAAGAAGGCACACACCGTGCTTAAGTGTCACAATGATTAGGTAATATAATCAATATTCTTGTTCTACAATACAATCTTTATCTGTTTACACATGTTCCGGAATCAAATTATCTACATGTGGTGAATGTGGTTGTCTTCAAAATGTCTTAAACAATACGATCTCTGAAGTATTATAAACAATACGGTCCCTAAAGGATTATAAACAATACGATCCCTGAAGGGTTACAAACAATTCGATCCCTGAAGGGTTACAAACAATTCGATCCCTGAAGGTTTATAAACAGTACGATCCCTGAAGGGTTATAAACAATTCGATCCCTGAAGGGTTATAAACAATACGGTCCCTGAAGGATTATAAACAATACGATCCCTGAAGGATATAAACAATACGATCCCTGAAGGATATAAACAATACGATCCCTGAAGGATATAAACAATACGATCCCTGAAGGATATAAACAATACGATCCCTGAAGGTTTATAAACAGTACGGTCCCTGAAGGTTTATAAACAGTACGGTCCCTGAAGGATTATAAACAGTACGGTCCCTGAAGGACTATAAACAATACGATCCCTGAAGGATATAAACAATACGATCCCTGAAGGATATAAACAATACGACCCCTGAAGGGTTACAAACAATTCGATCCCTGAAGGGTTACAAACAATCCCTGAAGGACAAACAATATAAACAATACGATCCCTGAAGGGTTATATAATCCCTGAAGGATATAAACAATACGATCCCAATGAAAGGATATAAACAATACGATCCCTGAAGGTTTATAAACAGACCCAGTACGGTCCCTGAAGGGTTACATAAACAATTCCCTGAAGGATATAAACAATACGATCCCTGAAGGATATAAACAATACGACCCCTGAAGGGTTACAAACAATTCGATCCCTGAAGGGTTACAAACAATTCGATCCCTGAAGGATTATTTTTTCGGGCTATTTTGCAAAAGACTTAAAAAATTAATGTTGCGGTACAGGTAAATGACAATTTCTTGGTTTTAATTACTAATAAGCCAAGGATAGGACTAATATGATTATATTTCACAAAAGGGAGACAACCATGGTCGTCAATATCCAAACCCCGTCATCTGAAAAAATAACAGTTTCGCCGATTTCTCGAAATAGAATCTAATCGTCTTACTAAGAATTAGGTCAAATTCGCCTCCTCCACTAACGATGGTAATCACGGTCCGTATTACAATACCCTGCACGTTCCAGGGAGGCGAGAAGGACAATCTAGGAAGTAATTAAGTCCCTATATATCCATGTACGATTACTGAGCTACCAGGGACGGATCAGGCCCAATTTTATGTATGATTGCTTTGATTCTTTCCGGAAGTAAAAAAAAAAAATCTTCAGTTTGTCTTTAGGATGGTGCGATAGCGGATAATAGTGGAAATGAATTTCAATAGTTTAGGAAGTGAAGGTGATAGCAGAATTTATCTAAGATAAATTTATCAGATAACAAATTCTTTAAATGGTGTTTTACGTTTCTATTTAAGTAACCTAATTAGTGTTGAGAACCAATCTTTTAATGTGTTTTTCGACACCTGAAGTCTAGGAATTGTGATGTTGTAATACATAGCTTTAAATATATCAAGGCTAATGTAACTATTAAGAAGTATTTGTATCACAACAAGTTTTTTTATTCATTCCAAATGTCGTAAAACAAGAAGCCTATGATATTGGTTGTGTTTACATAGTCTTTACTGATCCAATCTTGTTGAACTGTTAGTGATGGGTAATCATTAGGAGAGGAACATTTCAAGAATTGTTAGAACTATAATGAATTTTACTATATTTTGCTATTGTTTGTCTATCCGTCAGTCCGTCTGTCAGTCTGTCTGTCTGTGTGTCTGTCTGTCTGTGTGTCTGTCTGTCTGTCTACATCTTTCAGTCATTCTGTTTAACTGCTTTCCCGTCCGTTCATACGTTTTTCTACCTATTTCCGTCTATCTGTCCGTCTGTTTACTTGGTATGGATGGGAAGGATTTCACATTGTTGCCGTATTTGTGATAAACAGCTGGTTAAAACCCTATCCTTGTCACTTGTTGTTGAAGGTCAAATGTGGCATGGAAGATTCGTATTATGAACATTTTCAACTTTTTCTTGCATTTCTGGTACAGAAAGTTACAAACAACATTTTTGAAAAAAAGTCCACTAATTTAAACAGGCAGTACGTTGACACGTCGGAGTCGGAGCTTCGAAGATGATAAATGTAGGTTCATGGGGAAATATACAAGGTTATATTAGGGTATCATATCGTCTTAATTTGTCTTACAGACTGCCAAAGATGGCTCGTAATGATATAAACCCTAATCCAATAATGTTCCTCGGTTGTCATGTTTTCGGCTCCTTTTGGTCGGTAAAATGACATTAGCGAGTTTGTCTGGATATATACCACTAAAGAGTGATTGTTGTAGGTAACGTAAATATCTCAAAGATAATGGTTAAAATAGTATTCCTTTTGGCTGTATATGATACCCCGCGCTAAATACACTATGTCTATATATACTAATGTCTCTATGTCTTTAATGTAATATATGTTACTGTGGCATGTATCTGGGGTTATTAGATAATGTCAACGTATCAGCACCCGTGCACATATCTATTTGTATGAAACCTTGTACCTGTGTATGTGTCTGTTGGTATGTGATCTAGCACATGTGTATGTGTCTTTTGGTATGTGACCTAGCACTTGTGTGTGTGTCTTTTGGTATGTAACCCAGCACCTGTGTATGTGTCTTTTGGTGAGTGACCTAGCACCTGTGTATGCGTCTTTTGGTATGTTACCTAGCACCTGTGTATGTGTCTTTTGGTATGTTACCTAGCACCTGTGTATGTGTCTTTTGATATGTGACCTAGCACCTGTGTATGTGTCTTTTGGTATGTTACCTAGCACCTGTGTATGCGTCTTTTGGTATTTTACCTAGCACCTGTGTATGTGTCTTTTGGTATGTTACCTAGCACCTGTGTGGGCACGGTGTATTACCTAGTAACACTGTATGGGTCTCTTTGCATCGCAAAGTTCCTGTGTATGTGTTTTCTGATATATCACAAAGAGCTGGTACACACACATATTATTCTTACTTAGCATTTGAGAATCTTGGTACATACATGTTATATGTACCTAAGCCTGTTTGTGAGAGCAATGAACGCAGTATGGTTTTACTACAGTGTGTTCTGCATCAGCAACAGAAATCTAAAATCGTGTCATTGTTACCACTGAAGTATGAATTTAACATACCTTAAGTTATAGTTCTTCATCAGTTGGCAAGTTTTCTCTAAGTCTATTTAGCTCTCGTGGTTCATTCCAGCAAAAACTTCTCTCAACCGCAGCTTGCTTTTAAACGATTTGTATGGCGCAATATATATTCCACAATCAGCACCATATCTTGCCGAATGTTTATCGATTCAATGAACACATTTTTTTTGTAAAAGGCAATTTTATAATAAGTGATATCGGGAAGAGTATATCTAAACGCACGGGTGCACTGAATTGCCCTTCATAATGTGAACTCTTTAGAAATTAAATGAGATAACCAAACCATTGATGCTATATTGCAAATGATGCACAATTTGTGTTGATTTTATTGTATATACAAGTAAGGTACGAAGGTAGAGTGCGCACGACCTTGCATTCCGTGTGAACGTGTTTACCAGCATGTTCAGTAAAGAGTTTTCAGGACTCCTCTTAATTTGTTTACCATGGATACAGTTAATCAAACCAAAGAGTCAAATGTGAATTATTTTTGCCTATAATGCAACGCAAAACTCGCAGTCACGCACAAAGCTGCTCTTGCGTCAACAGACATCTAAGACAGTCCAAGGTTTTGTTTGAGTTGTCGGCTTTATGAAGTATACAGGACTTACGTGTGATGTATCTGATGCATCAGACTCTGCGAGCGTGCTGATAGTCGCGGGAATAAATCGCTCTATAAGTGGCTACCCGACATTATGTTATCCAGTTTGAAGATTAATAGGAGAAATTCTCTGAGACGCTACCATATCACTATCGTTTCAAGAAATTAAGCACAATTATTGTCATAAATCTTTTATGCTTAGATACATAAGTCTAACTTGCACTGTAACAAAGACGATACCAAGATGTCGACAAAATCA